GTGTTGTCTGTTTTATGGAAAAACACTTATGACATTTTATGGGAGCAAAAGATCGCTTATTGAAGGACAAGTGCCCAGTTTAGTGTGGTCAGCCTGGGTTTTAAATGGTAGATACAATCTGCTATCACGAGAGAGAGACTTAAAAAGCAAACTTGGCAGGAGACTTTGGCTCAAGTGCCCTGTGTCAACTTAGTCTCTTATAAAAAGGCTCTGTCAGGCATCCAGCACTACACATTGGTTGAACAATTAACCAAATTGCCGGCCTGATTCTCTGGGCAGAATGGATGATTAACCTTAAATATCTGTCTTTCTATAGTCTGTCAAAGCTTCCTTCCCCTTTGTCCAGTGAATGTCAGAACAGAGGAATCATGAATAAACACTGAACATATGGAGCTTTCTGGATCTACTGTGGGAAATTTGGTTGAAGTTATTGTCCTTTTTATTATGTACCTCATATAATAAAGCCAGGTTAGGCCTGATAACCATGTTAGGAGAGACACAGAGTAAGTACAGTACAATCTGGCATGAAAATCAGCACATTAAAGGAGGCAAAATAACTGGTTGGTCTGACATGTACTTGTGTTTTGCTCATTATCTGAATTTAGTGCATACCGTCAGCATCCTGTAACCTGTTTGCCCTCCAAGGAATGCAACTGCTGGTGATATCTTAACTAATGAGCGATATGGTCAGATGCTTTATTCTTTTTCCAGTCAGACAGATTTGATACAATCAGCTGTGTTCCTGTTTTCATGCCACAAAAAGAAGAAAACATATTGCTACTTAATATAAAGGTGCCTGCCTGTGGCTAGGTCACACAGTGTGCTGTGCTGAGTAAACAGAAGCAGACTGAGCCGTTGTGTTTTTTCTCTGTGAGGTCTGCCTCTCTCACATTAGCAAACCTATCTGGTTCTTTGGAAGCTTGAACAAACAGTATGGCACTTTCCCTGCAGCACACACTTCACAGTTTCCATGTTGTACAGAGAGGGAGGGCTGCCTGTCTGACAGCCATTTTTTAAGAAGAGGATTGTTTAGTTCAGGTGTGTCCCGGCTTAACCATTAAACCCAGGCTTTATCCAATGACATTCCTCTGCTGACCTCCCCAAATCACTGCTCACTGGGACTGTCACAGCTTTTGCAGCATTTTAGTGTTTTGCTTCTTGTTCTCTGGGGAAATGTTGGAAAAGATCTTAATCCTGCTCTGTTTGTCATCTGCTTTGGCAGAACAACCCTGTAAACCAGGTAAGTGACCAGGCTTAATACCTTAAAATGTCAAATTTATGGTTAGACATTTTGTATTCACATTTGATCCTACATTGTATTTCTACTTAGATACTATCAGCAGTGAAGCAGCCGGTCTAGATATAGTTCTTTGTTGCCTCTCAAGTGTGGAATGCAGCTTTTAATCTGAAACAAAGTCGGATTAGACACATAACTCAAATGTTTACCTCATAACAATGGCCTCTATTTTTTCTTTTTTTTTAAAGTTTTTTTTGGCCTTTTCATGGCTTTATTGGATAGGACAGCTGAAGATTGACAGAAAAGATGGGTAGAGAGACAGGGGATAACACACAGCAAAGGGCTGCAGGTCAGATTCAAACCCAGGCCACTGCAGCAACTCTGTATATGGGTCGCCAGCTCTACTGACTGAGCTAACTGGGCACCCACAATGGCCTCTATCTGACATCAACATTTATCCTAAAACACATGGTAGACTTTCTACAACTCTATGTGGAGATAACAGATGAAGCTTACATGAAATGATGATAAATTCCCCTAACAGTGAATTTGAATATGTTTTATCTATATAGATGCTTCAGATGGCTACAAAGTTCGACTCAGCATCAAAACTGCTCTGGGGGATGAAGCTGTATGTATATGTATAATATATATGTATGTATTTAAATATTCATCTGCCTGCACAAAACGATCAAAGCATCAGATCATAAATAAACCGTTTGAAGTGTTACTATGTTATATGCTGTTTTAATACTGTAACATATTATTCATAATCAACTGATCATTATCGCATCAACTGTAGCTACCCTCATGAATGTTAATATGCTGAAAATTCACCCAAAGTGTGTGACTACTTACTACTAGCACAACGTCCACGTGGTGACCAATGAACCTTAAAGGCCTTTACTGAAAACGGCACATGATCTGTGGTTGTTATTGCAGTATGTTTGGAATGAAAATGAAATGTTCCTTTTCCGAGCAACTCTGGCTTTTGCAATGAGGAGTCACCTCAACGGTCAGGAATTTGAGTAAGAAAACTTTTGTGTGTTTGATTTAAAAAACAAAACAATAAATAGTTCAAGAATACTTTTAAAAACAATAGCTATGACTCACGTTTTATGAACATGTTATAACACTGACGTGGTCTTTATTGTCTTCTGAAACTTCACCAGTGTGTCAAACATTATCGTATGTGATGAGACTCCCAGAGTGACCTTCTGGTTTGTGGTGACGTCACCACTGAACACGTCTGGCCTGGTTGATAAAGGAGTTGTGGAGGAGGCTATAAGGTAATCACATGACACTGCAGCTCGTCTTTAAATCCCCACATGGAAATATTTGTCCTTTGGCTACTCCTCAAAGAGTTCAGAGTTCACATTCAGCTCCGACGTTTAGAGTCAATGATCCATTTATTTCTCTTGTTTCGTTTTGATACTTTATTCTGTTTGGTGGATTAGTGGCATTGTTGGGGATCATTCTACTTTAAAGGTCCAGTGTGTAACATTTAGGAGGATCTATTGGCAGTAATGGAATGTAATATTCATAGGTATGTTTTCATTAGTGTATAATCACCTGAATAAAGAATTGTTGTTTTGGTTACCTTAGAATGAGCCGTTTTTATCTACAGATGATGACGGTCGTCTTCCATGGAGTCTGCCATGTTGAACCGCCATGCACTCTAGTTTCTCCTACACACTTTACAGACTGTTTTCATTCCCAGGTTGTTAAATACAGACACCAGTGTTGTTCAGTTAGTTGTAATCTGACACTTGCACAATCTGCACACTGGTCCTTTAAGTGCAACCATATTGATCATGCAATATTTATTTAATAGTAGCGCTATTATTATGAAGAATAATTATCAGTTCCAAAAATAAAATTCCTTGATTTGACGCTGTGCAGTGCTATGGGAGGTTTCCCTGGTCAGCTGGTTAAAGTGAGACTATGTAACTTTGACAATTTAGTAACAATTGTGGGATAATGTTAAAACACAGTGTAGCATAACAGTAGTAAAATTAGAGAGACACAAACTGAGTCAGTCAGCTACACAACAATATCTTTTCTAAAGTATGCTTATATTACAGCTGAGAAAAGAACATCAAGCTAGTGTGCATTGTATTGCTTGTCAATTCATGAGTTATTTTACTACATTAACTAGCCACCATAGTGTATAAGCTCCTACCAGAACAAGCAACGCTGGCAAAGCAGCAGAACTATACTGTATTAAGCAAGGGTATAGTCTATTGTTTTGGTTATGAAGTCAACTACTGAAAGGTGCATTGTATTGTGAATTAGACTTTTAATGAATTTTAACGAAGACAAAATTGTCATTTTTTTCCTTCAGAAGTCACAGTCTCACGTAATACAGAGGCAAGTTACTACACCAGCAGCTCAAAGCTAAATCTCAACAATAAATAGTTCCACTGACCATACCCAGCACATTTTTATTAAAACGTGTAGCACTTTATGTACCATCTTACATATGGAGGGGTCTTATGAATCAACTAATCTGCTGTACAGGAGTTTTGTAGTTCCTGAAACAAAAGTAGAATTGGGGGCAGTGGAAGTACATATGGAAAAGCCCAGTGCTGTAATGCAGGCTTTGTAATAGTATTGGAGATTTGAGTGAATGGAGTGCTGAGCTAGAAAGCGGCAATCAGACGTTATGCAGGTCAATCTTTGCTGCAACCCTCACCTGCTTCCCCATTGTCTGGGGATGACAGATTCATGTGGCTGATATGAAGTTTTTCCCCAGGCCTCACTGTAGGTGATTATGAATCTCAGAAGCGGACGAGTGTGTTGAGACACGACTCCTTCGCACTGGTAATTGTGTGGATTCTTCCTGGCCTCGTACCTTTGGAGATTTTCCAGGTTTTTTTCCACCGGGAGGAGAGCCTGAGGTAGAACTAAGATATTGAGGAGTCAGTGCATCTTCCAGGATTTCATCAGTTTAAGCATCAGTGGCACACTGTTGCATCAATATAATGCAGCAAAATGTGACACACAACAGACACATGTTGGGCTGAGAATTGTCAGTATTTTAATGATTACATTCATTTAAATCTTAATGTTTTATTTTTCCTATAGAATGTCCAGAAATCGCATCAACAGTGCCTTTCTGCTAACTGATAAAACTCTTGAGTTTATCGGCATCACTCCCACCCTGACAGCACCAGTCAACCCTGACACCCCTCCATGGCTCATTGTGTTTGGGGTGGTCATGGGTGCTGTGGGTGCTGGTATCATTGTTGTGCTGGTGTCCCCTCTGGTCCTAAAGAAACGGTAAGCAGGTGACTGGAGGTGCATTATGCATCATTTTTTAAATGTGATTACTGAGCTTTGACAGTCCTGTTTCTGGCTTCTTATTGTAGCAAAAAGAACGAGGAAACGGACGAGGATGAAGAAGAGACAGGGGTGAAAGCAGTGGAAAATGGCTCTACAAGAGAGGGGGTTTACAACATGTCATTCTCAGATGATGAGCGACTCACACAGATGTAAAACACATCTATATAAACTCTTCCATGTAAGCAAAAAGATGGGGAAAAAGGTTATTAAGCTGCTCTAGGTGGACTTTTGTTGCACTGTAAAATTAAATCAGCAAAATAATTTTCTAAGTTGTAGTTTATTGTTCAATTTGTCATTGAAATGATTTAATACAGTTTTATGATTTTCTTTGATTTGATTTTTTTCTTTCCGAAAGGTCACTGCTGAATATTTCTATATCATTGTCATGTCATTACCTGCTGACTCAAAAAGAAACAAGCATTTGCAAATTTTTAATGTCAGTATTTCCTTTTTCCAAATAAATGTACATATTGTCTGTTGAGATATGATTAATACAATTAAAGAACTTTGTGTGAGAGGGCATGTGTGTGGATATACTGTGTATATGTGTATTTTTCTAATGGGGAACAACTGCAAGGCCATACACAAGTTGCTTACTATATTAAACCTGCATTTTTGTTTTATTTCAAAGTGACAAATCAAATCAAATCGAGGGCCCAGAGGTGATGTCTGCTGCTAGATGCTAATTGTCTGCTGCTGCATTGCTTGCTGCCACCCTCTTTCATTTTCCAGACTACAGAATGACAGTGGAAAGCCCCCTGAAGTCAGCAGTAGCTACAGTGTTGTAGCAGTGTCCCTAAATTAAATCCTAAGTGGCAAAATGCAATTATTGTTTAAATGAGCAGTGCTAAAGCTCATTAGCATGATGGCTAGACACATTTATGAGTTGTTATGTCAGAGCAGCACAGCATACTGGTACGCAGAGATTCGTGTTATCAGTATATGAAATTTGGTATTTTGTTGGCCTTTATTGGTCCAGATGAAGGTCTGATTTTATGGTGACATGTACGGGGAATTTTTGTATAATTGTATATCAAAATGCTCAAGAAAACTTGCCTTATCTGTACTCAGTATTGGTATAAAGTGTCGAGATTATATCCAAACTGTGGTCTGTTTTAAATGTGATGTTTGACTATACTGCCTCCTGCAGGGCATTTTTGAAAAGGTAATTTATCCTGTAAATCAAGATCTATGGATGTTACAGTAAAAAAAAGTTCTTGTGTCTCTCTGTGAGCTTCAGTCCAGCGTTACGCAACCTTTTTGGCTTGTGACCCCTTAAAATGAAACCATGCTGACTTGCAACCCCATGTCTTTGCAATTGTCTGATGGTTGTGACCAATTCAGTTGTCAACATATGAAAGATTTAACATAACTAATTACATTACTGTAGTTCTGTTTTTAGTTAAGATGAATTAGGATGAATAAAGTAAAGATAGGAGCTAGAGTAGGCTAACAGATATTGCGCTCTCTGAAGATATAATGTTCAACAGAGATTCATGTCTATTATGTTTCTTAAAACTGACATAATAATCTAATCTTCATATGGCAAATCACACATGACCTACGGCCCATCCTTCTTTTTCATGTTTTTAGATATATTTCTTTTTAGAATAAAATAAACGAGTAAAGGCCTTTCCCTGCTCATCCCAAAATTCTATAGTGGACCTTGGTTGTAAATGACAAAGTGAGTTATACCAATTAAATAATTTGTGTACAGTCCCTAAATAGCTCTTTCTGCAGCTCCCAGTTTCGTACTGCATCAGTGGGTCCCAACCTAAAGGGTCAGAGATGATTACAGGATAGAAGAGCAAGAAACATGTTCCTGCTTCACAAAACTATGTTTATTTCTCAGACTTTCTTCTAAGCGCTGTTTTTTCTTCTCTTGCCCCCATAATTTTCATACGGCCCCTTAGCTCCCTTTGAAGTCTTAAACTGGATGTGAGCCATAAACAGTGAGTGTCCCACAGCAGCAAGAATCTGCCCAAATAAATGTTTGTTTTAAATCTAAATGAATGAAACCAGCCTTTCGCCTTTATAAACTGAACTATGACCTGTATCTTAGCTGAATCTATTTTCTGTTGTGTTCTTTGTGCCAATATTTGCAGCTGCTGTGTTACATTGTGTTATATTACAATTCACTGCTTGGGCGACGCAAAGAAGCAATCCATCTGCTTAACTTTAGGTGGCACCATTGCACTGTCACTTGCAGCTGCCTGGACAGACACTGCTGTCTTTCTACTTCACAGCACTCTTCTTGGCACTCTTTAAAGTGTGTGTGAATGGCAATATGGCTTTTAAACATTTCAATTTCAAACATATTTTAATTCATTGTTATTCTATTTTTGTCTAACTTTTTTTGAAGTGATAGTACAGAAAGTCTTTCTCATTGTAACTTGCGTCTATATTTAGTTCATTGTTAAATTAAATCTGTTCCTGATCTCTAGGTGACGATATGTCTCGTTTCTTAATCATTTGTACGATGATATTTCTGTCGCAGTTGGTGTTATGCCAGAAGATACCCACTGTGTGCTGACAATATGCAGCGTGTTGATGACTAGTTATCATTTGGCACGTCATGTAATATCCCACTCCTTTTCCTCGGCATTTCATTCTGTTGCCTGAGGAGTCCAGCCTTTTTTACACCTCATTTTTCTTGTCAAGACTCCAAAGATTTTCTGTCAAATTTAGTTTGAAAGCATCGCAATCTTGTTAGAGGGGCAGCCGATTAAGACCTAAATTCCCACTGTAGAGAAAGATAGAGAGCGGGAATAATTGCAGAGAGTCAAATACGTTTTTATCATATTATTCAAAATAATGTCATTATTTTAATAACTAACCCGGATACCTTCTGAAAATAAGTGAGCTTTGAAATAGCTACAGAAATGAGTCATTGTCAAATGACAGATTGCCTGAATAACATTACACATCTTAAAATAATGATTATTTTGCTGCTGCCTCTGTGTTCTGGACTCATCACAAGAACAATGCCTGTGTGTACAGCATCACATAATGGCTTTTGCCTAATTTTGTCTCTTTAAAACGTGGGAGATGAATAAGCCTTTGGAGATAATTCTGGACGAGCAGACGCAAACACAAATGCAAACACAATTGTCAATTATAAATAATCTTGTGTGGGTGAAATTATGGGGAACATTGTATATTGTAAGTCTGCAACAGTTTAATAACTGACAATCAGATGCTTAATTTCCTGTGTGGATCCCATTAAAGACCCCCTCCCAAAAGACTGTCCACTCTTGAGCGATAACCACTAAAGCAGAAGTTGATATTTATCTACATATGGACATTATTTACTGTACTTTCACAACATCTTTGACAGTGACAATCTAATCATTTCTAGCTGTGTGCAAATTGCATAGTGAGCAGGTTCTGCTACCGTAATGGTGACTACTTGCTGGAGTTGAACTCTCTCTACAGAGCTACAGAATATAAATGTATACACTCATCGGAGAGGCTCTGTGAGCACGTGGCAGTGTGAGCCTACATTGCTGTACGCTTGTGTAGTTTGAAAACTTTCCAATTCAAATGCAAATGTCTCATTCAAATTCCAAAGATTCCTAGTGAGCGTGCCCCTATTAAACTATCAATATTAAATATCACAATTCTGGTCAATATTTGATGAGGCCTATTTTCTAACAATGCAGCTTTCAGGGCTCAGAATCAATATTTCAAAAAAGTTAATTTTTTATAACTTTAGCTTTCAAAGCCCAAGTGCATTATTCATATCAGTTACAAGAGCAGTGTGAAAAGTGACAGATTCCATATGCATTTCATAAACATAGGCGAGGTGAAAACTATAACACTGTGCACTGATTCCACCACAAATCTGGACTATACTGTCAGCCTCCTGGATTTTTCCTGGCAGGGGGGGAAACAAGATGATTTCTGTCAGGGGCTGTGTATTTTTCCACCCCTGCTGTGTTTAAAATCCATCACTGTCATGTGAGTTCTCCTCTCTAACTTATCCTTCATTGCAGTCTAGAAATCCCATCTCTGCTGTTCTTTTTCTTTGTCCTCCTTTTGTTTATGAGTCTCATCGAGAGTAGCCTCTGCAGTCTCCCCTCCCTCGGCCACTCGCGTCTCTCCTCCCTCTGCTTTCTTCTCCTTCTCTCTCTCTCTGATGATCTCCACCAGCCTCTGAAACTTCTGGTTTAACTCCTCCATCCCTCCCGCCACCCGCCCGTCGTCCTTCTCTCCATCGCTCTCCAGTGAGCTCAGTGACTCAGCCCTTGAATCACGGCCCTCAAACTCATAAGTCTGCAGTGAGTCATAGGGCGGCTGTGACAGGTCAAAGGTGACCTGATCCAGACGGATATTCAGGAGGTCTTCCATGCGGAGAGGCTGCGGGTTGGAGGCTTCAGGTCTAACAGGCTCCGCCCCGTTTGCCAACCAGCTTCCGTTGTTACCAAACATCCCCCCAGGTAAGGGCAGTGGCTGTGGGGTCAAATCCTTCCTCTGGAGTCTGCACATGTTCAGTAGCTGCACTCCCGCTGGGTACAACCCGCTGCCGTTGGTCCCGTTCATACACGTCCCTCTGCTGTTTGGATTCAGCGAGCCCACAATACTGTATGTGTCTGCTGGCAGGTAAACAGCAGGGTTCACAGAGTTGATCTGACTGCCATTTGAATAATTTTGCTCTGAAACGGAGCGAATGGAGGAATCAGTATCAATGTCATCTAATGTGCAGCTGGTGGCTCCAGTGCTGATCTGAGTCTGCGATGACCCCGGTCGCCCCTCTTGCTGGTTTGACAAGGAGCTGGTGAGACTTTGGAAGGAAGACTCATTTGGGTCACAGTGATTTGCAGCGTTGCTGGCTGGTGTCGACTCCGTTTCTGCGTTTATCTGAAAAAGAGAAGAAGAAGGGAGATATAAGATGATTCAGACACATGCAGGGATAATTGTATGGAAGCAAAAAAAGGCCGTAATGATTCAAATCATTCAGTCAACTTAAAAATTGCTAATAAAAATGAATCACTACTGACTGTATTGAAATACTTTAGAACCACCGATCTGAATAAATGTGGTTTGAATGAGATAATTTCAAGTTTCGCAACTGCAAAAACTTTTTTGAAGAGGTTGACAAATTCAGGTACAAAATTTGAATTTGCTTATATGAATTTCTTTTTCTTGCATCAGGCGACTGACAGAACTTGAACCTGACTGGACAGAGGTCTGATCGATTCCATTCCGACTCCTTTCTGTATCCTCGGTAGACAAGGCAGATGTTTAAGTGAATAATTCATTTAGAATTTTGGTCCGAATTTTAAAAAAGCCCCCAACCCAATACACAAGCTGCAGTGTCTGAATCAATTCTGAGCAACCAGATTTTTAGACAAATTAATTATTGGATTTGAACATAAATATAGCTTTTTGAATATTGGACACTTTAACTGTCAAACTTGTCTCTTAATTTGTGAAAAAAACAAACAAACAACATTAAGTCATTATCCTGAAATCAAGTTTTTCACATCCCACTGCTTGAAATTACTGTCAGACTTTATTAAACCGGCTACTTACTATGAGTGATGGGATCCTAGAAGAACTCTTATTTTCTTCCATTTTGTCATTTTGTCTGAGCTCTTCTGATTCTTTTTAAAAAAAGGCAATGTCACGTACATCCGTGCACCAATCAGGACTCAGCTACGTTTTAATCAGAATCTGATGACAGATGGTGGGTTGTTACACTGACTAAGTTTCTGATGAATAACATTGTTGCATATTTAGTCACAAATATTTTAGTGTATTATAGAGAAACACTATTATTCTATTATGGCCTTTCTTTGCTTCTGTGTAATTGCAAGATATTTTTATCTGTTAGTATCGTAATCTGACCTTGGCCTGATCCTGATTCTCTTTAGAGTCAGCAGTGTTTGCTTCACTGCCTTCATTTCTGTCTGTGATTTTACTCTTCACCAGCATGTGCTCTGCTTCGTAACAACCAGGGCTCATCTCAGGAGAGCGAAGCAGTGGCTCAAAGGTGCTCTGGTTCTGGATGACAAGGGAATTGCCAATATGACCTCCAGTGAGCCCATGGGTCAGCTGGGTTAGCTGCAGACCTGCCTCCAGTGGCCCGGCTGGATAATCTCTCAGAACAGGCAACGTGTGGATGCCATAGCAGAGGCGTCCGTAGAGCGGAGCAGAGCCCGGCCGCTGCTGAGGGTCCAGGCCTGGGCGCGGGTTACGACTCCAGCTGTACGTCCTGGCCCTTGGCGGATTCTGCTGGGTGTACCATCTGTGCCAAGAGATAAATGTCAGAGAAGCGCACACTGGCACACAAACGCACACGCTCCCATGAGCCACCATTGCAAGGATAAACTTTTTTTATTTATTTTTGGGAACAGCTCACATGTTTCTGTTGTTGTGCATGTGCTGTATTCTGTGCATGCTCTGCAGCGCTGTAATGTCAAAAGCTGCGGTGTCTGCTTCCCCTCCCCCCTCGTCATCATAGGATATGATGTTCTCCCTGACATCATCCTCCTCGAAGGGTGAGTGGGAGTCTCGCTTCTGATGGCGCAATGACAGCGAGAGTGCACACACCACTAAAGGGCAAAGAGGAGACACATGACCACATGGTTTTCAGAAGCAATGCCACACATTCCGCTCGGCATCTTTCAAAAAGTCACAAACTACATATTACATACATATTAGTGTTTCAGAGACTTCAGAGGACCGATCAAACCTACCCAGCAGAGTGGTAACACAAGCCAGCATGGCCAGTAAGGTGACCAAACTGAATATGAGAGATGTAGAGCCGGACGGCACGGGGAGACAAACCATGTGTCTCTCCCATCTCCTGTCCCTCTGTCTCCCCCTATCCTCTGTCTGCATGCCCCCTCGCAGACAGGGACAAATGGTCACAGTGACCGTGCCAGTGTTGGTCAGTCCCGAGGCCCCGTCGCGCAGTACAACTGGCACGTAGAGGGTGAGTAAGGATGAGGAGAAGCCAGGGAGGGGCTCCAAGGCTGACTGGAGCACCAGACTGGCTGTCACACCTGATAACGCGGGGAAAAAAACCAAAAAACACACACATCAAACACGGTCACTGCACAACAGGCTCGCACCAGTTTTGGCTGGTGTCATGTTTGCGGATTGAGCATGAAAAAGAAAAACAGAGCCAATCATTGTAACCTCCAGTTTCCCGGATGGTGAGGTTGAGAGCAGAGCCGGACTCTGGAGGGATGCTGAAGTGGACCGGGGTGTCCTGCCCTCCATGGTCCCTGTCGATGGCTCTCAGCACCTGAACGACCTGCACAACACAGATCAGGATGAAATTATACATATATATGTATATATGTATATATACATTCTTTTCTATTTTAAATGTAAATATTAAAATGAAAGGATCTGCCTTATGAAAAGCAATCTTTGGGGGAACTGCTGACAAATGCAACATGTGACGAGGGGTTGCAAGTGGATAGACACTGTGTTCGAAATTATTATGCAAATATGATTTTAATTAAAGAAACATTAGATTTTTTGTTTGTCAATGAAAGTTTTCAATTGTGCTGCTTCCCATGTCTGTTTATATCACTGACATCAATCTCAGACAGGTTTGTCTTAATTAGTTTGCCAGGTGAGCCTAATTAATGGGAAACTACTTATGGATGTTGTTCCACATTATTAAGAAAGTCACAGGTTTCATGCAATATGGGGGAAAAAAGATCTTTCTGCAGATGAAAAGCGTAAAATAGTACAGTATCTTTCAATAGGTATGAAACCACTGGATATTTTACGAAATATTAAGAGAGATCATCGTCCTGTGAAAAGATTTGTGTCTGATTCAGAGCACAGACAGGTTCATTCGGATAAAGGCGTGTTAAGGAAAGTTTCTGTAGGGCTAATTCATCAAATTAAGAGAGCAGCTGTGAAAAAGCCACTGATGAGTAGCAAACAGATATTTGAAGCTGCTGGTGCCTCTGGAGTCCCAAAAACCTCTCGATGCAGGATCCTCCAGAGGGTTGCTGATGTGCATAAAGCTGTATTTCAGCCACCCTTAAACAATGCCCACAGGAAGACATGATTGCAGTGGGCTCAGAAATACATGAAGACTAATTGTCTAACAGTTTTATTTACTGATGTATGCCGTGCTACACTACCCTTTAAGGTGCCTGAAGGTGTCAAAATGACCTCTGCAAAATATGTGGAGTTCCTAACTGCCCATTTCCTGCCATGGTATAAAAAGAAGAACTGAAAATCATTTTCAGACAACGCACCATCCCATGCTGCAACAAATACCTTTGAGGATTTAACTTACACTAGGGGATAAAAAATCAGGGTGTGGCCACCATCATCTCCTGTCCTCAACCCTACTGAGAAACTGTGGAGCATCCTTAGTAAGGAAGCTCTGTGAGGGTGGGTGGCAGTTTACCTCAAACAGCAGCTCTGGGAGGCAATTCTGGCATCCTCCAAGGAAATACAGGCAAAAACTGTACATGGACTTACAAGTTCAATGGATGAGAGAGTTGTTAATGTGATATCAAAAAAGGGCTCCTATGTTAATATTTAACTCGATCTGTAAAGATGTTTTTGATTGGAATAAAAACTACCCCCTAATGCAAAAAATACAACAGATTTCTGTTTTCAATCTTTTAGAAACTATTAAGTGTTTTGAAACTCTGTTTTGCATAATAATTTGGAACATATGGAGTCAGGACGGTGACTTTAAAATTTGGCATCCAAAAAAAAATTATTTTGCAAAAAAATGCCGTTGTCATCATTGGTAATTGTGTTTAATAAAATCCAGATTACGATATAATTGTTAGTTATAATAGAAAATCCTATTGACTGCCAATTATATCGACTATTTAGGGAAAAAAAGAACAAAAACAGTATATGCATAATAATTTGGAACACAGTGTAAGTGGAGAAACTTGCAGCCAAACTCTGCAGAACTCTGCATTAACAGATTTAAAGTTAATTAAATGAACCCCCCCCTTTTGATACTATTTACTATCGGCATATTTTCTGCAACAGCCATGCAACGGATTTACATTCTGTAATTGACTCTCTGTATAGTGGTTTTCATTGTTAATAACAATGCATTTAATCCAGAGTTACTGTTTTCAATTTCAATCAGCCTCACAAATACAAAACAAGAACGGACCTGACCAGGGGCACTGGAGTCACACACAGACGTTGTGTACTGCCTGTCCAACTCCGGCGCATTGTCATTCTGGTCTAGTGTCTCTATGGCAACCACAACCCTTGACACAAGATTTGGATTGTCTGAAAGAAAAGGAAACCGACACTAATGGTGAAATTATCACAGAGTTTCTAACATTTTTACTCCCCACTTTGTATTCCCAACTCCGGGTGGTGCTCTCGGTGAAATATGACTGGTAAGCTATGCTGCTCATTGCGCCCAAGGGCAGAAGGGCTGACATACCCCTCTGTGTGGCAATGACTGTGATATTATGCCACTGCTCCTGCTCACGGTCCAACTCCATCACTGTGCTGATAAAGCCTGTGTCAGAGGCGATGCGGAACAGAGCCTCGGGGTCTGACTGGGGATCGATGGAGTACCTGAGATACAGAAAAAGGCACGAGTAAGAATAGGAAGGAAAAAGATAGTGAAGAGAGCCCAGAGTGAGCGACTAAATGAGTGAGTGATGGTGTAATAACCACCTGATGTTGGTGCTTTGTCCTGTGTCTGGGTCCACAGCGTAGACCCGGCCAACAGAGCAGACAGGGGGGCAGTTCTCAGACACGTCCAGATGGTAGCGAGCCTGGGAGAATCGCGGTGGCTCATCAGCATTAAGGACCATGACCCGGACTGTTGCCTGGTCCTTAAAGGGACCTTTCCTTAGGTAGCGGGCATCCACTATAGGGTTGGCCACTTCCACAGAGAAAGTGTATGAATTGCGGGTCTCATAATCCAGCAGCTGTTGGGTGAAGAATAAAAAAGGCTCAATCTGTAGGCTATACTATATTTTAAGGACTTTCATATATGATTTATATGTACTGTATATACAGTGTGCTGTATACTTCTTGCCCCTATGCAGTGCTTCATTATTCATTCGTTTCCTCACTTGTTTTTTATCACTCTATATAACTCACGTACAATATTCCATTTTGGAGTTACTTCTTAAAATTTGGATAATTAATCTTCAGCCTCTTCCTACCTCACCCTCCACAACCACTTAATTTAAGATTTCACTGAGCAATAATTATCTTTGAATGCCCAATGCTGTTAAACCATTAAAAGTAAAAAGACAAATTCACACTGGCTGCCTTTAACATGGCCTACTCACTTCAAATAAGATACGATTTTTCACCGGCTGCTTATTAGTTCATTGTTATTCATTAATTGCTTGTGTAGAGTCTTGGGAGTCTGAACTTGTCAGCAACAGAATGTGTTTCAGTGCAATAATGAAATCTTTAAGTGGCCAAATAAAATTCATTTGCAATACCAGACCAAAGCAATTCTTTTAATCTCCTGAAATGTCGCACATTCAATATTTTCTTCTCATTATGTGACCATTTAAGCAAAACCACCTACATGTCCCCGGCTATAATGAAATCCTTTGTTCGTAATGAACCAAAGTGCTTTTCACACAGACTGTCTGTACCTGCGTCTCACCACTCACCTTGTTCAGCACAATGACAGCCTCCTGATCTCTTCCGGTTAGATTGAATATTTCGGCCTCCTCTGCGTCCAGAATAGTAAACTCCAGCTGTGCATTTTCTCCCAGATCGGGATCGGTGGCAGTGAGACGGCCCACCTCCACACCTGGTGCTGCTAGCTCGGATACAGAGAATGACCACGCACCTGCAGAGAAGAAAAAAATGATTATAATGGCTCTGTGGAAAAATAACCTCCACAACCGGATGGTGTCTGGCACAATTCTGTGTTAAAAAATAGTTCTCGACATAATGCATGCAGCTATTATGGCTTTCATTCACATATTTCATGACCATGTTTAAAGGATTGGGTCACATTTTTTCAAGATTATCTTAATATATCATATTACTCATAAACCCATATGCACGTACATTGGAAGAGTTATTAATCACTATAATCACTCCACCTGCACATATTGGCTGTAAAGAGATCCTTCCTAATGCAATTCCAGTGAAGGGGTGATGGAAAAAGTCCACAGTCATCAGAGTGAGGAATTCGCTCTTTGTGGGAATGTACATGTTTTCCTTGCTGAATTGCAGTGTAGAGATCTTAACACAAAGATGGTATTTTGTACTAAACCTTTTAAGTTACACACTTAATATGACTCAAACTGCTAAAGCCTCATATCCACTTTGGTTGAACTTTTAAATGCTTTTCGGCATTTTGACAGTTCGCTTTCTCTTCCCCATCTCTTACATTTGAGCTGTGTCAGGAAGAAATCTCTTTCAGGCCAGAAGGGAGAAGAGGAACATTTGCAGTGTCCAGTAACCCTTTTTTTTATGTACATATAGGCATGAGCATTTTTTAAGACACTCTCACTTTAAAACTAAATTGTATGCTTACATTTTAAGCCCTCATTTGTAAATGATTTTAGCCACATGCTGTACACTTTAAACTGAATATCCGTGGGTGTTGGTCAGATAAAGCAGGCAATTTAAAGACATCACTTTGGTCTCCTGCAGTTGCACCAACTGTTCTTTACAAAGCCTTGTCCTAACTGCTAAGACCAGTCTTTAGAATGGACTTTGGTTGAACCAAGCAAACTTAAGCCTAGTCTCAACTGTTTATTTTCTAGCATTGTGTGTGCACTGTGATTATGGTGAACATTATAGTATTTGCTAAAGCGTGGATACTCAGACTAGGCTTAGCATTTTAAACATGTTCTCTTTTTGCGCTTTAACAATCTGTCGATTGACAGAAAATCTATTAACAACTATTCAATAACTGCTTTACAAAGCAGAAATTGCAAACATAGATAGAGAAGTCTAATATAACGATGAGCTACTTTTCTCTGTTTTATGTTACTGTAAATGCAGTATCTTGAACTGCTGGTCGGAACCCCTTCAGACCCGCCTTATGTTCCAAGGTTGTGAAAAATATAATAATGACTTTTTCCCATCCTTAATGCAACCAGAAATGAGAATCAATAAAAAAAAAATTTAATCAAAACTCTTAATTGCTATTTTTTTTGTCCATTTCAATGGACATCAGGTCCAAACTGTTGTTAAAATACCAACATCATATGACAACATCATACCTATTTTTTGTCTTATAATTGTCACATTGACATCACATGGAACATGAACTTGAACAGTTCAAATTATGTTTTTTTTTTGTAAGGTCCAAACAGTTTTAAAATATAATTTTTTCTCTTTTCCTTTGTTTGTTTGTTCTGCATATGGAATGTTTTCAACTGATTATCAACTCATTCTCTTGTTCTGATTTACTGTTTTTATAGTAATAAGGTCATTTATCAATACTGGCCAATTGAGTTCAATAACATGGTTTCTGACCCACTGTCCATTCTAATGGACAGCAATATTTGAAAAAATCCTGTGTAAGAACTTGCACTGAAACAATATTACACTTCTATTCATACATTCCATCAATATTATATCAAAACTATGAAATTGTGGCACAGATATCTATAAATGTGAGTTAAACTGTTGAAAATGATCCTTACTTCGACATGTGTGGTGAAGCCCTGCCATGCCTCACTTCCGTCTGGTGGATTTTTTTCATACATCAACAAGCAAAACTATACTGCCGTTTGATTGGTTGTTAAATGTCCAATTCAATGGACTTGAGGGTTCAAGTGGTGTTAAATGTTGCAAAAAGTAAAAAAGAAGCCCCTTTCATGTGATGTCCATTGTAATAGACACAGGGTCTGAAGGGGTTTTAAACAACTGAACATGTTACTTTGAATCCTGGCAACTTGTGATGGGCAATTTTTAAATACTAAATTATTGATAATGGAAGCAATTATTAATTGTTGCACTAGTTTCTTTGTAATCTCTCTCTAATCTCAAGAGATATAGGAATCAACTCTATTAATCGTATTACATTAACTACATACAGTACATATAACTTTAAGCTTCAAATTCATTGATAATTATCTGTTTCATTGTATCATTTATGAATCAAGAGTTATTCAACTGAGTGAATCTGTTCTTATGTTACTGTTAAGCAGTCAGTGATCTGTGGCATCAAAAAATGACCTGTACATTGCTTGTGATGCTGCATGGCAACAAGCTTCAAATTCAGAGAAACGCTTTCATCTAATCAGAGCAGCGCTACCTTGCTGATTGTTAATCATTCAAATCCTCCACATTATGAAGATTATTTAAAAACCACACCCCTCGCATTCAGAGAGCATACTAAATGAGCCGTTTGCCTAAATTGTGCCATTATTGTCAAAGAGAAAATAATGACCTTGAATAGAGGTGGTGAGGGAGGGAAGATATAGTCAGATATCAGTAAATAAATAAAGCACTGCTGGCATTTGGAAATATTAAATTGCTTCTATAAAGCACTGTATTGCAGCCCAATATATCAAGACGAGGAAAGGGGGCTTTAAACATTAAGATGAATGGCAGTAAGCAGAGACTGTCAGGAAGAAGAAGTAGGGAAGAAGGGAGGAAAAGCGAACAGAGGAGAGGTAGTATATAGAGAAATGCAGTATATGTCTCAAAGTGTTAGACACATTCTGCAGTGATTTTACTGTCTATTGAAGCAGAAAGCACTGAACTTTAAGATGAAATATTAATAGCATGGAACAGGGAAAAGCTTGGATAAGAGAAAGCGGACATGATCTTTCACTCTTCTACGTCAAGGCACAGTCCATTTGAATCTTAGGGACCAAACGGGAGTGTTTATATGAATGTTAATGTCAGTCATCTCGGCAAAGGTTATGTTATTCCAACTCATGTTAAAAACAATGATTAGGAAGAGTGTAACACATAAAAGAGCAATACCCGACTGACAAGCTGTTCAACTGCTTTAGAGCTTATATCTTATCTTCCACCTGTCAAGACAACTAGGACCCAAAGGAGGCAAAACATATCAGTCTGCTGTCACAAATGCCATTACAAGATGTTTAATCATTTTAATCTTTACTCACACACACATTCTACAGCTGCAGAGATTGAAAGCAGCCGACAGTTAAGTGGGGATCTGATAACAGCAGCGCTTACTCCTTCTGAAGTGAGGGGGGTTGTCGTTGACATCAGTCAGCTTCACAGTGATGGTTGTAGTCCCTGATAATCCGCCCAGATGCCCTCCCATGTCTTTGGCCTGGAGGACGACCAGATACTCGTCCCGAGTCTCTCGGTCCATGTCAGGTACCGCTGTCCGCAGGATGCCTGGTGGAGAGGAGTGCGGGTCATGGAACAAAAATCACAACAGCAACAGATTTCACAGTGACACGAAGTCTCTGGAAATCACCATCAAAGAAACCAGATGCATACATTTTAGATCTAGGACACTGAAAATCATATGACTCCAGGCCACTTCTGTCTCTGAACTGATCATAAAACACATGAGTTAAAATGTCCTTATCCACGTTAGACATATGGTGCAACATATGATTTCTAACTGGACCACTGGGATTTATGTATGAAGTGTAATCATCAGCTGAGAGAGGCATTTTATGGTTAACAGCTTTGAGGGGATGTGTGGTTCATGTGAGGCTTTGGCCAGACCTGTTTGAGGATCCACGGAGAAATAGTCCTGGCCGTGAGTAATGGCATACACCAGCCGGGCGCTGTTTCCATATGTTGGATCATCAGCATCTCTGGCTGTGACTTGGATTATGGACGTGCCTGTGAGGGAGAGGAGGCGACAAAGGTGATAAGTCAAATGCCCTGTCACAGTATAGTAGTTAAATATGTTGGATGGTTCATAAGCTTAATGTGATACTACACCCAAAAACTGCCTATTGAATACCAAGTACTTACAGCTGTAGGATTAAAGGGATAATGCACTTCTCTGCGGGCCATCTGAATGCATAGTATCTTAAAAACATTAATCTTTTAGAGAAAATATGACTAATAACCCATTTTTATGTTGAACAATTGCCCTTGAATCTTGGGAGCTGTGCTAGGAACACTGTATTTAACCCCATTCTGGCAAAGGTATGATTGCCTGCAAGATACTGATAATGTGCTTGGACAGCAGGGAAGTCGATTACACTGCAAGAGTAGGCTAAGAAATGCAATGATTTGTAGATTATTTGATTAGTTGATGGACAGAAGATTAATCTGCAACTATTTTTATAATAAATTCTTTCAGTTATTACTTAAGCACAGATGTGATGCTTTTCTTTTGCATATATGGTAGTTTTTTACTGTTGTTAAAATAAAAGCAATGTGAACATATCTCTCAATTTCAATATTGGTTAACGAGCATGCTAAACTAAAATAGAGAACATGATGGATATTTGCATGTTAGCATTGTCATTATTTATATTATTATTGTACTAAAATCACTGTCCACTATCTTATTTTAGTGTCCAAATTTAGTGTAAATGTATCCACTACATGAACATCAACAAAAATTACAATGGAGTGAAAAAAGTGCTAACAATCCCACAACTCATATTTTATAGATGGGAAAATTAAAATCCAGATTTTACACTTTATACTTTATACACTTCCAGATCTCAGTTTGCTTCTCAGTTTACTGTAAAGAGGATCAAATTGGAAAGGTGAATGAATGAATAAGATCGCCATCAGAATCCACTGTAAACTAATTCAATTCCAGCTGACCACAACTGCTGCTCCCCATTAAGGACAACACTGCAAGCATTTTCAAGCAGGTTTTGGGTGGAGTATCACTTCAATTGCAATATTGTATTAGAGCTGCACCTATGTTGGCCATCTCCGGGACCATGGCAACATAGGGTTCATTGGGGAAGACAGGTGGGTTGTCATTGATGTCCTGCACTCTGATGATGAACTCAGATGAGGGCTCCAGGGCTCGGCCAGTCTGACGGTCTGTAGCTGTTGCAGTGAGACGATACTGGTCCTTTTCTTCACGGTCTAGAGACTTGGTGACGTGTATGTTGCCTGTGTTGCTGTCAATAACAAACACAGAGCCCACTCCCTCTCCCTCTAACATATACTTAGTGCGGCCGTCTCCCTTATCCATATCTGTGTGCAGCTGTAAAATAAATGCAGAGTAAATTATACTAACAACCTTCAGGCAACATCACTTTCAGACACAGTATGCTGATGCAGGTATCGCTCATTAACACTCATCTATTTGTGTGGCAAGTACTGCAAACATGGCTATGTGAAATGGGCAATTTATGTTAAGACGAGATGCGCTCAGTGAATTTGAAATGACTGGCACCAGGTGTGGAAGATACATAAGGGACCAGGATGAGTACTGATGCATACAGCTAATTAACTCACTGGACCAAACATGCCATTGGGGGATTGTTAAGGGCAAAACCACATCAATGTGGACAGTGGCCCAGCACATGTCTTATATGTATGTTCACAGAGGCATTCTGCAAACACGGGCAGTATCCATCTGTAAATCTTTCTGTCTCTCCTATCCATCTGTCCCTTCTTCGCCCTTCTTGTAAATCCATCTGCCTGACTTCCCTGTACCTTTTACACCACCTCTTTCTCCAGTCCTCACGTCTCTCTCTTTTCATCAAGTTACCTCGGTTACACAGAATGCCCATCTGCTCACATTTCTCATTCCCCCCTCTCTCTCTGTTTTGCTCTCTGGTGCAGAATACTTGTTTGGTATTTAATGGCAGAGAGGATATTAGTCTGTGCTAGATAGGTAAAAGGCCAAACACACAGAAATAGAAAGCTAAAGAGATTACTCAGCCTTCACCACACTGAGCTTTCTGACCAGGAACCTTCACATCTCTCTACCCTTAAGGCGCATCTGCACATGTTCATAATCCACAAGGCTTACTCACAACCTCTGCTGTGGACCTTAGATACTCATGAGAACTAAAGCCTCAACTTGAATTCAGCTGCAACAATGACTCTTTACACATTTACAGAAAATGAATTTTGAAGGCACATTAATTTTGTTACATAAAACTTGTTTATGCAACAGAGAAACAGAATTTCCTCCATCATGGTATGAAAGTGTAGAATCAGTCCAATCATTTCTGTGCTCATGACAGATGCTTACTTGAAAGCATAACACATGCGAACAACACATGTTCATGCAAGTGCAATCCCCGCACACTGCACAACAGGCAAGCAAAGACCAGGAGAAATATAAGATTAGTGTACATCCTGTGTGTGTGTGGTGTGTGTGTCTTGGAGGATAAAGTTGGGGATTATAGAAACTCATGATAGCATACCCTACAAATTGCTAGATAAGGGACTCTGGGTTTTTTTATTCATCCCTACACCCACATCCCTCTCCCTCCTTTCTTCCTTAAAGCTAGCTTCGATTTTGATCCCACACTTCACCACGAGAGACATCTTTGTCAGAGTCTGTGCCTATCTCGCTCCCCTGCTCTTTGCCTCCCCCCCACACCCTCCCCTCGCTCCATCCTCTCTCTTTCTATCCAGCCCTCCTCTCCTCACTGTCTAATTGCTGGCTCAGTCCTGCTGTGCTTCAGTCAGCATGGAAAAACACTCTCACGGTGGGGAAGAAATTTATCCGCCCCGTACAAACAAAGCTGGAAAAAGGGGAAATTGTCTCTTCCAATTGCTTTGTCACTTTCTCTCCTACTCTGTAATCTGAATTTTCCCCTCCTCTCACTCATGCAGTACATCCACCTCCGGGTTTATATCTACACACTGCATTCTTTGGCAGCCTAATTCTTCCCTTTTTCACACAGGCTGAGGCACCTATGATTTGAACTGTTGATAACTCACCTGAAACCTTGCACCGGCAAAGGGTTTGAAAAGATAATCTCTATATTTGGCAAACAAACTGAGCTGCATCAGAGAGAAAACATGCTTCCAACCCCCTCGCAATGCAAGGATGCTTTATTACACGAGTATCAACATCAAGACTGTGCTTGCAGAGGAATGAGCAGTCTCGTGTGTCTACTGATTGCTTTAACACCCCTCCCTGACTGTATCAATAACAACCAGAGAGGAAGATTAAACATTTATGAGGTGTATACTGCACTGGTAAGAATCCAATCTAGACTGTCACTATAAAGTATATGGCTAGCTACAAAGTGGCTGGCTGCATTCCCTGTTAGCGTTACAGCTGATATAATCCTACTCTGAGTATACTGTAGCTGCCAGCAGCTGCATTAGTGTGGAGCGCCTGACTGTGAAATGCTACAAGTAAACCCCTGGGATCGGAATGGTTCAGGTGTGCAGTGGCTTAAATCATCTCAGACACGTTTCGTGTTGCGACACCGACAGCAGTTGAAGGTTGCTGGTGTGGCGACTGTAAAAACTCAAGTATGTGACACGACAAGTGGGGGGACTGCTGCACGAACGCTGCAATTATATGGAGTTATATTTGTGCCTCGTTCCTGAGCGCGTGATAGGACATTTTGAGAGCTTTTGCAAAGCAAACAAATTAGATTTTGCAGAGGAATTATTATCACACAAAGAAAATAAATCTATTTGATCGTCAATAAATGTGTTTATGTGTTTGCTAATATCCACACAAGTGAACAGTTTGCTCATTTGCCCTCTGTTATTGTCCCTGGCTGAAGTGATGAATGGAAGTGGACGAATGGAGTTGGAAATATGCACACAAATCTAAAACTAAGATATGATTTTGTGGGACAGCGTGCTGAAGGTTATAAAGTGCTGAATAGTAATTAATAAGTCAGCCAGCTATATAAAATTAAACATAACTCAGGGTTCTGCACTTTTCACTAAGGTACTGTTACTGCGGAGTTAAAGAAAGATTAGTGGAAGACTTTTTCTTCAGTGACGATAACGCGTTGGCTGTGTAGTTCCCAATCATCAAGGTAGCCCAGTTGCTTGGCTAGCTGCTGCATGTGTGGCAGACGTTAGCTAGCAACCTACCGATATAGCAAGGCTGAAAGCTAATAGACTAAATAAAATACAGACTAACTGATTGACAAATGGAAACTGATAAAGTTTCATAAAACTTGTATGTAACCAAAACTGTTTAAACTGCATGAACTACTTATGTGGGCCTGTGGAGCTGGCTATCCCAGCAATTGTTCCAGTGCCTCCCCACTCCCCTAGTAGCCGATAATCTAGCAATCCTATTAGAGACCAAACAGCTGACCTACGCCAATATTTCGATTGGCTGGAATTGTGCCACATTTTCCCCGTAGACCACCATTATAAAGGAAACATCTGTAAAATGGACAGATTCCATCCATTTTATATAATATTTGTTAACTTCTCAAGAGCCTAGAAAAGCTCTTTTTATTTGGGTTGAAGTCATCCCATTGTGAGGTCTGTGAGACGAGCCGGAACGAGAGGGCGGCACCAGGGAGAGAAACACTAATGCGTAAGTGCAGAGAGCCGCAAGGAAGCAAACCCGGAATCCAGAAAACTTTTTTGGCTTATGCGCTCGGCAAGCAGATTTAATTCAAGTGAGTGGGCGCCATGATTGAGTCCAGTATGTAGTTCTTATAATACATCCATGGAGTGCGCAGGCAAGAGCAGAGATGTTGAGAGCAAGACAGACACTGTGGCGGGTGTCCAAGGGTTTGCGAGCACACAGAGCAGGAAGATTGAGAGAGGAATTGAATCTAACTGAGTTAAAGAGGGTATCATTGTGCACTTATGTGGATAATGGCTCACAAAATACATTTAGTATTTACGAAACACATAAATAAATGCATTGAGCAGAATAGATTTCTGTTTGACCGAATGAATCCTCTCTATATTTTATGTGCTTGTAAAAATCATTTCCTGTGCTCAAAATGTCCCATTGGGCTCTCAGGAACGTGGCACAAATGTAACTCCATACAATTATATACAGGTTATTCACATGCTGACTGGTTGTGACCAACAGCTTACCCGTCCAATGAGCACAGGCTCAGGTCCTCTGTACTCCTCAATCACGAAGAACTGATTCCAGAGCCAGCTCCTCCGGCGGCGAGAGCGAGGCTCCTCTCGCAGCAGGTATGGCCCCGACCGGCCGTCTTCAGACTGCGTGACCCATTTAGAGCGGCCCCCTGTCCTCTCAGGCAGAACGTCACCGACACCTGTCTCCAAATGGAGCTCAGGCTGGAGAGTGTACTCCTCCTCTGAACTCGGCACTAGACTGTGAGCATTAATTACACCTTCAACCTCTCCATTAGTCAAATTGCTCCTTTTCTCGCGGTTCAGGGTGAGTTCAGGGCTATGTTTAGGTAAAACGGATTTGGCAGCAGATTTAGGATGTTTAAGAATGTCTGTTTGCCTTTCTATGTTATCCCTAAAGCCAAAAACATTAGATTTTCTGTCATTTAGTCTAAAAGCCACATTTGGCATGTTTCTTATATCATCCTTTGCATTCTGAAGTGATTCTTTGAAACTCACAAGAAAGTTGTCCATGGACTCTGGATGAGGTAAAACCTGTTGTCTTTTACTTGATATTACTCGCAAATCCTTCTCTTCTTCTAAAAGGCCAACAGCCCCTGAAATGCCACTTCTTTCCCCTTTACAGAATAAAAGAAAAAGAAGAATATGTGCTGCCATTGCTGAGATTATGTGATCAGTTTGTCTCAAAGAATAAGTGATGACTGGCTGATCAGACGCAGATTCTCATCATGGTCCATCTTGTGTTGTTATACTGAGTGTCTCCTCCTGCTTCAGGTTTCTTTTCCCCAGAGCGAGTCTTCATTTCACCTTCCTTTCTCACGTTTTCCCATTCAGTACACATGCTGCACAGGATCACCTGAGAGAAGACATAATTAGTGTGATCTTGACTATATTCATTAAAATAGGCAGGAAGCGCCTCAAGATACAGAAGTGAAAAGACAAAGATTGACATCTTACTCATTATCTTATAAAGAGGATGTTTGATATTTTCAGACAAATTTGTAGATTTCTCCTGCTGTTTGTTGAACATCTCTGTTTGCTAATCGGAGCTCTCTGCCAGCGGCTGTAAAAATAGCTGCGAGTTTTGCACAGAAACTATGAACATCACGGTCTGATAAGAAATTACTTAAAGAGGAGAATTCCCTTTATACCAGATGCTGTTATTCATATCATTCTCATTGCTGTTGTGTGTGAGTCCTGTTATTGATCACTCAGGCATTCTCAGAGAGTTAAGTGTGGTCTTAAAAATTTTCAATTAATTTGGAGCCCGAGGGCCTGGCGGCGAGGTGGAGCTCAGGTACTTTACTGTTCCTTGTCACACACAATTGCCTGGACATCAGGTGATTGATGTCATCCCTAAAGATGTTCTCCCCATGCCTCAATGCCCAGTAGTGAAAGAAGTTCCCCTTAAGAGATTAATTGGCCTCATAAATAATTCAATCAATGACTTGTCCTCGTTTCCCAAAGTTTAATGATCTGAGTTTCGTAAGTATTTGAGTCAGATCCCGACCATTGATCTTTGAAATTTGATGTACTGAAAAGTGTCAGCAGCTTAACAAGACTGAAACTGTGTAATCGCAGTTTTTCCATCCACCTTTTACCTGCATCCATCACTCTGCTTCACTAGCTCCTGCAATGAATGTCGATTTTCTGACATCTGTTTTTCACCTTTATGCACGCAAAGGAGGCAAGCATTATCTCTCACACACACACAGTCCAACAATGCACGAGTCATAAGTTCACACTATATTGAATAAAGTTTTCACGAATCTCTTTTAAAGAGATTTAGAAGTTCTAAAAAAGCTAAAGGGATTTCTGCGCACGACCTGCTATGCTAAGCAAAGTGTCAATGCTGTAGCTATAGAACATAAATGATAAGTGCATGGCCTCGTCTGTGGTCTGGCTAACTGAAATGAAACGTATGCTGTGATTAATTTAGATGCAAATAAGCACAGAGTGGGCCTACTGTATAGTAATGCATAGGCCTTTGATGGCACTGTATAATATGAACCATAACATTTTCTGATATATCCAAATGAAATGCTTCATATGAAAGGAAGGGCACACAAAAATGAATCAATGTTCTCTTTTTCACTCCATATACTGACCTACTTTTAAAAAAAGTAGGCTTTAGAACAGATTAAATATGAGTATTTGATCATAGTTAGTAGAAAAAGTAATTAATAAACCTTTTACAGAATTCCTCCTTTAAAGGAAATTCACCCTTGATTTCTTTTTCTTTACATTTTGCACACCAATTATACCAATTCCAGCATGCTGCGTGTAATGCTTCATGTTCAGCATCTGCATCTGTTTGACATCATCTTAAATCAAGCAGAATACAAGAAGTGGTTCATCCAAAACACTTTTGTCTTCCTCAGCTATTGTGTATTAGCATAGACTGAGCTCACACGGCTTACATTTCTCCCTGCTAGCTTTGCTCCGAAACCACGTTGCCAGCAGTACATGTCATTCACTGTTGTTTGAAGTCTTTAGAGTATGAGTGCGTATGAGATATGTGTGAAATGTAAGGCAGGGATAGAGGATGAAAGCGTGAGGACGATTTGCTGTTGCCGGCTCAGAATGGAATGATGAGTGGTGACATAGCTCTAAATTGCAAATCGCTGTTTCAGTCTCACTTCACTCTGCATCGAGTCGCTTCACTGCAACAAGGCTATTTCATTTTTATTAAAAATAGCCTGTGCATGTCAGGCCTTTTACATAGGGAAAAATGGGAGATGGAGGCAGAGAGTGAATGGGTGGGTGGGTGGGTGGGTGGGGGGGGGTAGTGTGATATGGTGGTGTGTGGTGGTGGTGGTACACTGGGAGGAGGGCTGCCTTAAACGACCAAGTCGTGGACAGATTCTGTTCCATTTGAGCGTCTCTGGCTTTCTCTACTTCAGCCATTCGTCTTAATGCTCATAGACCTCTCATCCATTCTCACTGCCTCTCTCCTGCTCGGCGCACACATGGGAATCTCTTAAGTCCTTCCACATCAGACTGGTGAGGAGAGGCCCCTCTGTACTCAGCACATCAGTCACCTCATTGTCTTTAAGGTTTTGACACTCAAGACAGCTTAACCTTAAGTGATGCCACAGCATAAGAACTGTGCTGAGCAAGTGTTTAGCCATGTCCTTAATTTCCTGTGAAAAAGCCTCAGCAGTTACAAGGTGCTGTCTGTATCTATTTATGTGTGAGATGATCATTTATTATCTGACATCCCCTTACATTGTAAAAACACATAAATTACATTACATGATGGCTCTTTGCAGCTACTCTTCGGTCTCACACACACACACACACACACGCACTCGCACACACGCACACACATCTGGACTGCTTATTAGCATATCCAGTAGAGATACACTAAACAGCCTGGAGCGTGACCTTGTCTTGTTAGAGGAAGTCAGAAAAATGACCTACTTGATGCATCTTAATGTGATTTACACACTTGGTCTAACTATTATAATGAATGCAGCGTCCCAAAATACTGCTGTCGGCTAACTGGACAAACAAGGTCCAGCGACCCTGTCATTTAAGCGAGCGTCCCCGCGTTAACAGTGCACGCGGCAGGTGAGTGTGGCGCGCGCCAAACCAGCACGCGCGCGCGCACATACACAAACGGTACCTAGCCAGAAAATGAGGAGGGAAGCACAACATTATCCGTACCATCTGTCAAAGCCTGGCGCTCAGTTCACTCACTCAAAACGGGGCTCGCTTCTCCAAACCGCTCTCCCTCAGCCGCGTGTTAGTTCACCCAAACAGCTCGCGCATGGTAACATCTGCTCGTGGCACCAAACGGAGAAAAGGTTGGCTTCTTTTTAACATGCGGACAAACTGACAGTGAAACAGTGAAACAGTGTGAAGCCGCCGCGCCGTGGCTGAGCACCCAGAACGGGAAACTGAACGATAAAGTGAGAGCGCAGAGGAGTGGAAACTTGTCACGTCTGTGAAGGCGTAAGAGGCTTCACTTGAATAAACTAGTGAATCGTGAAGATTAAAAAAAAGAAAGAAAAAAGAAACTCCTTCAGTGGAGTAGAAAGGAGCTTACCGTGTGTTTGCCGCTCTGCTCTGCCGGTTCTCTGGTTTAACGGAGCTGAAATGATCCAACGTGGGAAAGGATGCCGAGGTTCATCTGAGCTCAACGTGAGGTCTGTCCACTTAGCCCAGTCTCTCTCTCCCCCCCTCTCTTCCTCCGTCTATCCCTCCCTCTCTCTCACACTTTCTCTCTCTTTCTCTCTCTCCATTAGTTCTAACTAGCTCTGTTTACCCTATGGTAAACCCTAAAAGCATAGGATTTCTGAGGATACACAGTACCACACAGACACTGCTGATATCCACACTGATATTAATGATAATTGCCATTTTGGGTTGTCTCATTTTGTCTTCAAAATCCCAGCTTTGGTTACTAATTATCCCATTTATTATCACAGCTTTTTCCATCAACACATAAATCGTTTAAGCCCCTTCAATATTTTCTGGTTAGGCTGTATCGTTTCCTTGAAGCAGTGTTTTGTAATCTGCTTTAATACAGCCAGTCTGCATAATCATCCTCAGTAAGTTAGCATTTTCCTAGTTGTTCCACCCAGAAGCTGGACCAGAAAATTGCTACTCAAGGATGCATTAAAAGATGAAATTTCACCATTAGTGCTCTCCCACTCCCTAAAAACATGTCGCAATATATGATTATAATTACCCCCTTTCCTCCCACTTTGATAGGACATCTTCTCCAGTGATTTGAAGGATTGTTCTTGATGTGAGTTTTTTTTCTTAGAAATTGATGATCACTTTAAAATACAGTACATTTATGTAATGCAGTCTCTCATTAAGTCTTGACTTTAAGCTGATTTTAATGAGCAATCTCAATTCCTTGTCTCAGGAAAAAAAGAAACTTCTAAAAAGACAATATGAATGTGGATTTACTAATCCAGAACTCAAGGATGAATGTTCAAAACAAAATTGTTTCATATATTTGTAGTCTTTTGGATGTCCATGATCTAAATATTAAGCCATATGTATCTGTTTGGGAATTAGGGTAACATGAGATTGCCCTAAAAATATTAGACAATGTGATATTTTTACATATTTTATCTCATACCTCCTGGAATAGAATATGTTTGTTTCTTGCCCAAATGTTTTAGATGTTTTTAATTAGGCAAAAAAGATAACAGCACTTTCAGCACAGCAGCAGAAACACATGCTTTGAGCGTCTCAGTACTGTAAAAAGTACAGAGTGCAGTCTTGCTTTGCACATCGATGTTTCTTGATCTGTCTTGAGTTCTGTCTCCTGAATGAGAAACAAGCGAGCCTTTAAGCAAGTGGTGGTGAGACAAGTGTTCACTGATGTGACTAGAAAGTAACTTGCAACCCTAAGGTCGCTCTTCAGATCCCTTGTACCCAGTACGGATGTTTATTAATGCCAAAACTACTGAGCAAGACAAAAGCCAAGCTGTAATCAGTCTGCTGAGAGCACACAGGGACAAATTTACAAGTGTAAAACATGTTCTGACTGTGAGAGCGGGCTGTCAAGCTATTTTTTTGGCAAATTTCTGGCTGTTTGGGTCATAAGTTATTTTAGACGAATGGTAAAAAAAACCCCAGATGTACTGATATATCTTAGGAGGCAGGGTCTATGACATTTCACTTCTTCCCTGCTCTCATCTGGGGTCTGCATGTGAGCACTAGAAACAGCAAAAACTGAACAAAAAGCTTTAAAGAGGCCAAGCAAAGGAAGCCTTAACGCCCACTGAATCACAGCTCTTCTCGAAGGCTCAAAACTTTGATTACAACCACGATTCCGTCCTTGTTCGCTGTCTGAACTCGTCTGTCCCTGCAAGCTTCCAAATCTGGACCACCAAATTGGTTTTGTTTTGTTTTTCACTCTCTCAATAATTCTGTCATTAATGAATTTCCGAGGATGGAAATTATGGATGAGGTTGGGGAAGAAGGGAGGCTTTCCCCTCTCAAAGCTGCAGTCACTTATATAGTACTATTAGTGTAGGCTTGAGAAGACACTCAGCTCTCTGATGTTGCACTGGAGATGTGCTCAGCCTCATCACACAATCCTGCCTGTAGTTTATTGGAATATATAAAAGATAGAGATATGTATACACACACACACATCAGCCATTACGAACTCTGTCACTTTGTAAAAATAGCTCATCATATCAGCATGTAGAACCACAACCTTAAGTCCCACTCCAACTTTCTGACATGTTGTAGCATAGTCCTTATGCTATAAAGTGTCCTCCCATATGGTAAATTGTCTCACCCTTGAAAACTTTCACCGCCGCACTTTGGCTGCCTCCACTGAAGTTTGAAAAGGCAGTGAGGATGAGGATGAACGGCTCTATACGTTTTGCCCTAATATCCTTTGCAGCCTTTGTCACTTGAATAATTACTAGTATGCTTAATTTACTACCAGGCTGCTCAAACAGAATGAACAGGCAAGTTCAGCAAAATGTCTTTTATTCATTAATTTATTGAAGTGTCAAAGAAACTTCAGACGAATTCTGACAGCGGACACAAATCAGTTTTCAACTCCTTGCTGTTTATTGCTACGGCTAAATTAGTTCCCTTATACATGGCAATACATTACGACCTTCAGTCTGCAGGCATTTAGATTTTTGGACTGTTCACTTTTCCTGCTTCTCTGTGTGTCTATGTGATTCAAACATATGCAGGAGTAGGCTGTAATTATCTCTCATACTTGAAGTGATTCATAGCGCTTTAATGTCTAAATCAAAATGCCAGCCAGCAGTGTGCTGTTATAGAATATATTTTATCATCAGCGCAAACAAAACATCAGCTGTTTATTAGAGGGAACGATATGCATGCACAAATCATTTGAGAAATAGCCTGGAGGATGCAACTGCCTGTCCTGTTCATTAATTTAGTATCTGCTGCAAAGATGCCGTCACGTCTCTCTCCAGAATACTCCCCGATGTTTGCCTTTCTTTTCTCATGCCATTTTTGTTTGTTTCATGTCTTTACTCAGGCGGAGTCACGTCCTGTCTCTCCCTTCTCTCTTGTCTTTCCTTTTCTCTGTAATATTCCTCTTTCAAATCCTCTCTGCTCCTGCGAATCCATCCTTTTGAGGAGATGTGATAGACGTCTACGCAGTTTCCCGAGTATGCGTCCCTGTGTGTCGCTCTGTACACAGCCTCTCTGGCTATTGATGTGGCCTCATCCACTGTCAGTCCCCATCGAACCCCTTGGTCCAAAATTGAGTAGGCATAGGGTGATCCCGAGCCCACAGAGAAGAGCGCTCCCTGCAGGCGAGTACCATCGCTGCACACATAGCACAGACTGGGTCCAGATAAACTCACTCTCTTTCTGGCAGAGCACTGTTGTCCACCAGTTATTGAAGCAGAGCTCTGAGTCTTTGTCTCTGCCAGAGAGGTCTTTTCAAGATCAGTCATTTGACTCTTTGTTGTTTCTCTACGACCACTGAGATCAGTCTTTGCACCTCCATCTACTTCTCCTCCATCCCAGCCGCACAACGTGGCAGCCACACACAGCTCAGTTCCCTTGAACGGGTGAAGCATGTGAGATAGCAATTTGGCTGCTCCACTTGTGGACAACCGTCGACCATGGCGGAGTTGGTAGAGCCGCAGTTCTCGGGCCAGAATCCGTTTCCAAAGGGCACAGTCAGCTGAAGTACCTGATGTAGTACCCACCAAGTGACTGTGGATGGGCAGGATCTTCTGGGAGGCTGGGCACGCCACGAGCCCAGAGCAACTGGACCGAGTGTCTGCTGCAGCCAGCACGCCGCCCTGAAACATGAAAGCCAGGGTGGTGGTGCCATGAGACATGGGAAAAGGCAGAGGGACAGACTGAGAGGAGGCCAGAGGAAGGCTTGTGGGCACAGCGAGGGATGATAAAATGGAGTCCTGAGATGAGATGGCACTGGAGCTCTGGATTGTGCTGATTTGCCCAAACTGTATTGGACTTTCATCCAGGTACTCTGCCACTGGTGTAAAAAAATTAAACAGATTTGTCCTGTTGCTAAAGGGCAACCCGCTCACATAGTCACAACCAGTCTTCCTTCCAAAAGGCACTGAAGAACATAAGGTGGTTATACTATCCTGAAAGATATCCTGGAAATTGCACAGCTCCTGTAAAGCCATTGAATATGATGACTTTATTTGTCCAAAGAAACCCTCTCTTATTGAGTCTGATAAAAAATATTCATGTAAAGTATCTGACAAAGGTTTGTATGCCCTCTAGAGTTGAAAACAGATTGTCTATTATAGCAGCAATCACCCTTTATATAGTCAACAAGACCGTGTTCATCTACGTGTGATCACCTAAAAAAAAACATCAGCAACAGTTACTGATGCATCATTCCCTTGACTTTGAAGCATGAACAGTCAGTAGCCCATGGGTAATTAGTTTTGGCTTCGATATCAGGTTGTTTTTCAGATCAGATTTCTTCAAAGTCTTGTGTGGGCGTAGGCCATAGAGGACGCTGGGTGATGGCAAGGCCTTGGCTCGAGCACATCAAATTAAGTTAGACTCTGAGCTTTGATGCACCACTCACATGGAAAGTTCCCTAATAGAATCAGGAATAAAATAAGTCAAACCACATTTCTGTTACACAACAGAGTCATTCTAGCCAAGCCTTTTACTTACTCTAGGTAGCCCTTTAAAAGCAACTCATGCAAATTGTTTAACTCGCAACACCAGAATATCAGGTAATCCCGCATCACAAAGGGCGTATGCTCACACAACTGCCACCTGTTCAGGAAGTACGCTGTCAGGTGTCAACATTACAAACTTTATTTGTCGGATGGATTGATAAGGAACTAAAGGTTTGTTTTCACATTTTAGTTAATCTTAAGACCAAAAAAACTCAAAATGAACTTGGTACACTCGATCATTTTTGGATATGTCTTCACTGCTGTTGTTATAATGGTAAGAAACTCCATTACACTTCACTGTAATTACTGTATTACAATACTTTGCTGAAACCCTGTTATCAGTTGTTAAGTGTGAAACATGGCCACTCATTTTTATGATTTTTAACAATTCTTTAAATTTATATTTTTGTAATAACTGACTTACAGGATGTGAAAGAGGTTGCTTAAGGTGATTAACCTACATCACCTGACTCTGAAGCTGTCCTCAGCTTTACAGAGCTTTATAGTGAGGCTCAGCTCATTGTTGAATTGTTCAGCCCACAACCTTACTGGGTGCATTCTCACTGCTCTCATAGCAAAGCTTTCGAGCTCTACAGGTAGCTGGTGAACATTTAGCAACTAAAGAAGCAGATGTTTCCCTCAGGAGTTGGTAGAAACAAAAACAGAGCTAAAAGAGAGTGAATATGGATATGAGAGTGATGATTAACCTAGGAAAAGATCCCATTTAAAGGCTTGGGAAGTAGTTGGGCAGTTCTCTTTAGCAGAGGGTTAGCCTGACGAACATTAGCCAAACCGTCTAATCTTCATCCTCTTTTAAAACCAAAAAATATTGTTTGAAAACACTTCCAATAAAACATCAATTTCACCTTTATGTTGCTTGTCAAAGTTTTTTTCTGAATGTGCTCATTTCCCCTTGTGACTGAAGAAACACCCACTACAGCTAGGCTTCTCACCAACCGTCAAGGACTTGTAAATGTCCACCCTCTGGCCTCAGGGGGACATCACATCACAATGAGGCAAAGAAGACATCACACTAGAAAATTATTTGACTTTTTTATGCGACCTCTTCAGCCGCAGTGAGCCTGTCTGAATGGGGCGAGGTGATGATATACCAGTGCTGTGTTCACAACTTGTTTCTGCTGGCCCCAAGTGACAAAAAGAATGAGTTAAAATAGGTTTCAGCAAGTAAACATCCTCTTGAAAATGTGCCTGCTGGCAACATGATTCCTGTCTTATTTTCTTTACATTCACTTAATTTTATTTACTTATCTTTCACTTCATCCAGGGACACTGTGTGTTACAAGCCATTTCCGCCTCCTCCTCCCAGACTGGTGAGAGCGTCCCCGACAATTTCATAGGGTTTGACTCAGCCCCTGACAAAGTGGTAGATGGCTCAGTGGTCCGTGTGCAGTATCAATGCTCTAAGCCATGTCATCTTGCAGTGGAGGTGGTGGTGTCCACATTAAAGAAGACAGATTTAGCGGTCTTCAGGAGGAATTGGAACAGCAGCGCCACCCGAGTCTACAGGATCCACCAGGTGCAGCTCAGATTGCCTCCGTCCATTTTATATCAACACGACTTTTTCAACAGACGTGTTTTGGATGCGCAGAATGTGACAGTACGTGCTTGGTTAGACCATCTTAATGATGGCAGTGAACCGGGGACATACCATAGCTCCATGTTGAAGATTTATAAAGTGCTACAGATAAAGCCACTCTCAGAGCGTCCAACTAAACCTCCCACTGACTGCCCTTCATGGTCCGCTCAGCTGATGTGGCAGATGACCAGAAACAGAATTTATCATTGTCCACATGAATCAGGTCAGACCCTTAATCACATTTTTTTATATATTCCACATCCCATCTTTATTACTAAAACCTTTAATGGTTTGTGTATGTAATCTTTTGCTGTTTTCTTGTACAAAGACACAATGGATCTTCTAAAGTTCCCACTAGCCACTACTGGAGAGCACTTTGGAGTGGTCCGCAGGTTTCAGCCTTTTATCGACAGAGGCCTGGAGAGAGCCCGTCTTCATGCTGTGACACAGCCCAGGTTGGACTTATACTTCACACACAGCATCTCATTCAGTTCATTTTAGCTGGATCTTATTCTGTATGAAGTTCAACTACACAGTATGAAAAAATCTCCGACGGTCTCCAAATGCTTAAATACTTAAGGTCCAGTGTGTAACATTTAGGAGGATCTATTAGCAGAAATGGAATGTAATATTCATAGGTATGTTTTCGTTAGTGTATAATCACCTGAAAATAAGAATTGTGTTTTTTTATCTTAGATTAAAGCAGATATTTATTAGCAGAATTTGTTTATGTTACCATACATATACCATATACCATATATACCATAAATGTGTACAATAAAACCAAATAATCCTGACATAGTACCATATATTACCTGAAATTCACTGTATGCAATAGTGGTTTGTGTTGATCAGCAGATTAACAGGCCACAGGTCAGTGATTGTTTCCCTTTCAGTGCTGGCAGCTGTTATAACACACTCCACTTTTAGTTTTACTTCGCCATCATTACAAATGACTTTACAAGCTTCACAAAGCCTCTTCACCAGAGCATATAAGCTTTTTATTTACGGTCAATGGCAGACAGTGAGGTCAGTCATTTTTAGCAGATAGCGCTCTGTTTTAAATTCAACCTCACGCCTCAGTGGGTGAAGAAATGATTTGCCAAATCATGTTCATTGCTTGGTTTTCAGCGTCACCTTATCTGTGTGGATCTACCTACTGAAATGGTGTCACAAGAAGCTCTGTGGGATCATCCATCATGTCGATAGGAACAATTTATACGACTCCGTCCTGATGCAGCTTACAGACACAGGTGGGTCACAGCAGCTTGTGGGTACACCTGATACCAGTTTAGGGGATTAGATTGAGGTATCATGAGATGATTGTGAGTGATGATGTGTGTTTTGTGAGACTGTGGAACAGACTGTGTCATGTATTAATAAAGAGCTTGTGGTGAAATATATGACTGTCATATCTCTTGTGTAGGGGACGTCATAATTCAGGCACGTGTGACAACAGGAGAAGATGAAGCGTTCCAAACCAGTGTAGCGTTGCCCCTGCGGAAATGGATTAGATTGGACTGTTACATACAAGACTCCAAGGTATAGAGCCTCAGTGTGTGCCTCTGGGTGGGATATGGAATATAACTTAAAATACAGCTTGGAGCAATATCTTATAGTCATCCTTTCTCTTCTGAGTCTCGTTTGGTGCCCTCGCTTTGCAGTGTTTGATTTCCTTTTGGAACAGCTGTAAGATCCTGAAAGATGGTTCCTTTCCAGCTGGGAAACTCCAGGCGATTGCAGTGTGTACTGCAATTTGAAGCTGTTCACAGCTGAGTAGGTTTTTTTCTGTGTCATGAACTCATGCATTATTATGTCTGACTTTCAGGTGCTGCTGGATGCAACATGGGATGATAAAACACTCAAATATGAATATGAGTAAGACGTGTTATGGATTTAAAAAAAATACGTTTTGTTGTGAAATAAGAAAAACACCTTCCAGTTACTGTACTAAAGGGGACGACCTGCACAATGAAAGCTGGTATTGAATATCTTACAGATTTCAGGACAGTATCCATTATGATGACACTGATGGATACTTTGTGATCGGAGGTAGCAAGCACATATCAGGCATACGTGGGTATTTTGGGCCTATCAAATACTATCGTTTCGGAACTGAAGAGGTAAAGTTTTCTAATCAAATAAGTCAAATTGAGTTGTTTTGTTGCTTTATTACCTTGTGTTCAAATATGACGTTATCCATGCCACAGGTAACAAATGAACTTCACCCCAAGTCAGCACTACAGGAACTGGATAAGACTCATCAGGAGTGTGTGGAAATAAAAGCAATTACAAGAGCTTTTCTCCAACAAGTAACTGAGAGTCACCTCCTGTCAATAATCAACAAAGGTGAAATATTATTTTGACTTTAAAGCAGTGTTGCAAGCTGTCAGGATCTACCTTAAATATAAATCATATACAGGGTGTCAATACAACACCTATTAAGTATGGGAAGGTTACTGTTGACAGGTTATGTTTTGTTTCAGGTGTCTGCACCCCTCACTTCATAAAACTGTGGGGTCGGTTTAGAGAGAAAACCAGCACGCAAACATGGACCTGGGAAAAACAACTTAATTACAGCGTGCTTTTTCGTGTCTTGCAAACAAAAGAGGAGGACATCAGAAGAGGCGAGTCACATATGAGTCATAAATAACTCACATCATTATTCACAGTTTTTGACAATTTTCATTTTCTGTAGGCTCTTTGGGCATGAAGGACCTCAGAGGGACTTTGTTTGAGCATGCAGTTAGTACAATTTTCACCAGGGATCAGGCAGAAATTAAAATTCCAACCAAATCAGTGGCTCTACTACAAGTATCTTCCTGCTTTGGATATCACAAAGCATCTCTCTTGTTAGCCACTATCTACCTCTCTGGCCTGGGACATGCAGTCGATCAACAACTGGTAGGGCCTTCCTTCTACCGTAATTGCTGCTTCCTCACATGTAACACTGCTCCTGTACCAATGACTGATAATATTGATTCCGGTGTGTTTCAGGGTCATGTCTATAGTTTGATTGGCGCAGCGGGTGATAACCGTTTCGCACTGATGCATGCAGGGTACAAGCACACACAAGGAATTGATGGGTTTCCAAAAGACTTGGACATGGCGTACAGCTACTATTCCAACACTGGGGTGCAGAGCAACATTGATAGTTCTAGGATGCATGAAGATAAGGTAGGTTTAAATCAACTATTATTTTTAGGAATGGCAATATCAGCCTGTCGGTTGGTCCTTTACATTAATCCAGACTGAAATGTCTTGACAACCACTCGATGGATTGCCATAATATTTTGTACAAACATTCCCCGCCACTAGCTGCTTCCCCTTTTTCAGTCTATGCTTCAAATTGAATGAAATATAAGAGTGGTATCGATCTTTTAGCTTTCCAGAGACATTACACTATTCCTTTTAAAAAATTAAGAAAATGAGGAACATGAGTAAAACATATCAATCCATCCTATGTGTGATACTGTACTATCTGTATTATAAACAGATATAATGATAATGAGTAATAAAACACATAGACATCAAATGCAATTCAGACACACACATGCACAAACACATACATACACATGACAGCAGTGACAGAAAACGGACCGTCTCCAAAATATGATGAATAGTGCATTTGTTGGTCCAGCCAGGGAGAAAAGGTGGGTCTTAAATCTTAATTTAAAAATGTGAATGAGTTAGCTGTCAGGATGAATAGAAGAGCCGTCCAAAGATAAGGAGCCCGCTATTAGAAAACTCTACTTCAGACTGATTTCCTGTTTATTCTCAGAATATTTAAATAAGCCTTATCAAATGAAAAGAGGTTCATGAAGACAACAGAATGACTTCACTGTGTGCTCCGGCTTGAGTAAGCAGCCAGTGCACCGAGAAAACAATTGTGGTGAAGTTTATTAGGGAAAACTCACGCTCTGCATTTTAACCAATTTGGAAACGTTCTGAGTAGATGACAGTGCAATAATCCACCTGGATCCAATCTTAGTTAAAGATTAAAAGCTTAATTAAAACCTATTTTCTCAATCAGCTTCTTATTATAAGTGACAGGGTCCTACATGACTGCAAAATGTTCTGTACAAACGTTTTGTTTCAGTTGAGCAATGTGTCTGTGCTGTTTTTTCTTCTGACGGGTTTGAAGTGGTTTGAAAAATGTGATGTCGGGTACTTCTGAGCATCTATCAGGATTTAGCAGTATTTGAATCACAAGCTGCTGCCGTGTAAGCTGTTGTGGGGTTGTTTGCTTATGCCATTCAAATCTGATCAAACTCGTACACAGGCCTGAAGAAGCAGATTAGTTCAACTTTAAATAATACCTACTCAAACTTTCATTGTTGTATGTTTTCAGGGAATTTCTCTCTTTATATTTTCAGAAATGAATCCGTGCAAATGTTCCACATATATAGAGTTTAACTTTGTTGAACTTTAACAGCAAATTAGTGCTGTTCAGTTAGAGTTAAAAATAGAGGAAGCTAGTGTGGCTTATTAGCTGTGTATCACCATTCACTTTTATTTAACCTCCTCCATCGGAGTAAGAACTGTTCCACTAAAGAGCAGTGGTTCGCAGACAAATATGTCTTTTTAATAAACTGTGTGAACTTTATGTTCTATTAGCAACTGCGCTGAATTAACAAGCTCAGAGTTTGCTAACTGACTGTTAGCAAACCCATTATCTCAGAGAGATTTATTTTCCCTCTTCAATGTGTTTTTATTGAACCGAATGGTGTGCAATGGTGAAAAAAATACCATAGGGAGGTAAATAAAACATCGGAGAGAAAATTAGAGAGAAGCTGAGGGAGTTATTGTGATTTACTACCATTAGCCCGGTCGGGCAGGCTAGCGAGTTAACGGTTAGCTCACCAACTATAGTGGCTGCGAGTATTCACTACATCACCAGGCTTCTGTCCTCACCTATTTTGTGTGTACGTTCATTTTAAGTCACTTTGAGGTGTGACCACTGCTTTAGTACTAGGAGTTTTATTTGTAATAGTAGCAATAACTAATCGTTTTCTATTAATGTTACCATTTGTCTTTCCTAAAGCAATACACACCTGAACACATCTATCTAAGCAATCAAGAGGATGTATACAGACTCACACACAAGACAAGAGACGTCTTTCAGTATCTGAAATTCCATGCAGAGAGAGGAGACGTAGAATCTCAGGTATGTCTGGAGTTAAATCCTACTTTTATTCCTCTGTAATGATCAGAAGACACGGTAATTGTTCAGAACAGGCCAATAAAACTCTCTTATCTTCAGAAACGCCTGGGAACAATGCTTTACTGGGGACAGCATGGACTTTCTAAAGACCAAGTGAGTGCGGTGAAGTGGTTTGAAAGAAGTGCTATGCAGATGAAGGATCCTTCAGCGATGTACGACTACTCCATCCTGCTGATGAAGGTTCTGTAAGATTACAAAGACTTACCTATTTTACAATTGAAGTGAACACTGGATACTTTGTCTGTCTGTGTGTGTGTGTCTGTGTTTTGACAGTTATCGATTCAATGACTGATGTTGATTCCTTCAGGGCCAGGGGGTGAAAAGAAACCACACCCGAGGTTTTCAGCTGCTGGAGAAAGCTGCAGCAATGGTACTTGTATACTGCTAGTAATCAATCTGTGTGTTTACAGAATGTGCCTTCACTATACCAGTGTTTGTTTCCTGGCTTTAGGGCTCAATTAACGCCTTGAATGGTTTAGGCTGGTACCATGGGATTATTCTGAACGACCACAAAACTGCAGCAATATACTTTGAACAGGCAGCGTTAAATGGGAGTGCTGATGGCATGTTTAACCTGGGCATCTACCATCTCAGTGGGATAAACCCGGACAGCCCATGGAGGAATGAGGTTGGAGCCCCACACCTTGTCAAAATGTATTTTTATCACTGATATGGTGCAATCAATGAGCTGATTTATTTTCTGTATGATCCACAGACGGCTGCATTCCACCAGTTTCTGAATGCAGCTCAGTTAGGTCACATCGCTGCATCAGTGGAGATAGCTCGGTACCTTTCGACAGGAAGCCTGGAAGGGGTGTCTCAGGATGTGGAGAGGGCTGTGATGTAAGAGGCTTTCATTAGCTTGGTGAAGAAAGCTTTGTTATGGGCTGTTGCACTGTAGCCTGCAGCTCAGTGGCATCTAATTTCAATGACAGTGGCTAATTCAAGGTCAGAACCTAGTATTTGCATATCTAAAAATAAGAGTCACTGTCACTGCATTATTGTCTGGCACAGGGAGATTCTGCTTACCATTGTTCCTCTGGTATCTTATGAATTTAAAGAAGCTCCTGCTGCAGCTGTAGAGGCTTTTTTTTTAGAATGACCTCAACAAATCAGACACTATTTTTAGATCATGTTAAAATATTTTCCGTTTATGTGAAGAAAATTATATTCCATAATTCATCACCTATCCTTTACCCTCTGTGCAGAATGTTAAAAACGGTCTGTGAACAGAACGGACACCTTGGATTTATGATCAGAGAGGCTCTCCAAGCCTACCTCCAGGGCTCTTGGTAGGGACATTAATTTCAATTACTTTTCAATTGTCCTCATTTAATCATCTTCTCTGCTCTTTACTATTTGTCTCAGCTTCTTCTCATTTGTTTTATTGTGTTGCAAACAGGCAGGAGGCTTTTGTGAAGTATGTTTTGGTAGCTGAAACCGGTCTGGGTTTGGCCCAGAGTAATGTTGCACACCTCTGTGAGGTAACTATATGCTCTTTCTCTTGTTGTAACCTTTTGCGACTGTCCTCAACAAAACAATGCCCATTCTTTTAACCTGATTTTCAGCACAGTGCTAAAAATCAGTGTCTCTTAATTGGAGTTGTGAAGGTAGCCGATGAACAAATTGCACATTATTCCAGTCACATACTAAAAGAAGAACACCAAGCCGGAGGGAAATTGTTGATAACATAACCTTCATCATTGCTCTGCTCTTTCTCACCCTGCACTCATTCTCCCAAATGTAGGAACTGAATCTCAGTCATGATTGTCAGTGGAGATATCATAACTACTCTATATTAAACTATGATCCCCATCCGTCCGGTGAGTTCCTCTCATTTCATTTTGCTTTAACCTCTTCCTCTCCCTGTCAATCTGGTCGTTAAGCAGAAAGTATTTATCTTCTTTTATAGCTCTGCTGAAAATGGGAGACTACTACTACTGTTCCTCCAGCACGCGAGAAGACTCATTATCTTTGGTTGGTCAGGCAGTATCGATGTATGGCAGAGCGGCTCTAGCAGGCAGCCCTCAGGTGACAGATTTACTTGGGCTCTAATCTCATCACCCTATGATAAACTTAATTAAACTTCCACGGGCTCAGGCCCACCGCAATAAAAACAACAAACAGCATTATACAGTGTTATTATTTGGAGACTTTCTCCGTGAATAACCCATCAGCCCCTGTTATGATTTTATTTTCACACGGACTCACAGGGAATGTACAACTTGGTCGTTCTGGCACAACAAGGGCACGTTCTTCCATTGAGCGTCTGCGGCTTGTTTAATGTGTCACGTCGTGATGAGCTGGACATTGTGGTGGAGAAGATCTTGAAAAGGTGCATGAACTACCAGTAATAATGAAGAATAAACATGAATATTATTTGGGTGATCCAAGGCTGTTTATTATAGTTATACTTAGTAATACTATACTGTATATTATACAATACGATACTTGTGATCGTACTTATTCGCTTTCTTGCCAAGACTTAGATGGGAAGATTGATAACTTACATTGCCAGTAAGTACGGTAAATAAGAAGGCACCACCAGCAGCATGTTAAATAAATTAGATATAACATATTATGGTAATGAGTGAGCTTTAGAGGTGCTGGTAGGTACAATTTGTAACCTTTGGACAGAGCCAGGCTAGCTTCTTCCCTTCTTTGTGCTAAGCTAAGCTGACTGCTTGTTAGTGGTAGCTTCATAATTACCGCACATACTTGATATTTGGGAATATCTACAGGCAAAGTGAGTTAACTTACGTTGCTGAACCCATCTATGTTTCACCCTCATGTCTGTTCCTGCGCTTACTGATGATACTTATTACCTCATTCTTGTCATTTCATTGATGGGCTTTTATTGTTTTAACAAAAATATGAAAGCCTTATATATAATATAATATAATATAATTAGAATTAGAATATATGAATGAGGTAATGAGTATGAGTATATACTATTACTGTATAACACAGTTATTTTATCTCCTTAGATGTATGGAGACTGAGGATGAAGAAGCAGTAACGCCTTGTTCTTTAGCTCTGCTTGGAGTTCAGATGGGAAAAGCCTTGAGGAGAATGACTCAGAATGGTGCACAGCTTCTCTTGGTAGGCACAAGGCAATACTACTGTATTTAGTAAGAGGAAAACACAACACACTGAAAGCTTGAGTCTTATAATATACAGTTTTCCTTTGATAGTTTGATTGTCCTTTAATAATTAAAATACGTGAAAATGCAAATTGGACTTGAATAAGACATTAAAGACACTGTAAGCTGTTATTTCGAGAAAGAAAATGTGATGATTTATTTAAATCATTCTTCTTATTTCTCTATAGGCATATGCATCTATTCTTTCTGTGTGTGTCATTACTGTCGTTATGCCATTGCAGAGCTGTCTTGGTGAGTAATTGTTCTCTCATCTACTCTGCGTACTTTCATGTATTTGCCACAAGATGGTGCAATTTCCCACATATTGGTGTCCTTTATCTCGCTCTGACTTGTACATCAAAAGATAATCTATGTAATTTACCTTCTTTCATCCACCTTATCTGCAAATTAACACAGAACAAAGGCTTCCCCGTTACCGTGTGGTTGCACTGAGGGCAGGGACATCATCGGTCAGCCAAGATGGTGTCAACTTGAATAGAGAGCAAGATGGCATCATGGGAGGAACCTACAGAGCGGTGGGGAATCTATGGCTTACCATCCTGAATGGGGAGCAGTGGCTCCGGCAGGCAGGAGATTTGACTGTGACTCTGTCGGGCGTGTGCCTGTGTGTTTTCTGGACCACACTCCTCTATCATCTCTTATGACATAAAATACCCAGCACAGTGATCCAATAGCCACAGCAAAAGCCCCAGACACTACATATTGTAAGAGCATACATTTAGCGGATGAGTTACTGCGCTATTCGTGTGACACATTTGTGTTTCGGCGGCATGTGACTCATTTTAAGTTACAGGAAGGAGAGAAGTGCTGATCATAATGTGAGTGTGCTGCTTTATCAGAGTGGTGATAATGTTTCCTCAGTAACCATTTTTTCATTGTTTTGTTTGTGGAAAATAAAATACTTATCATGAGATTCATTTAATGAATGCTGAGTCCCACCTACAGTTTATATCGTCTTGGGGATGTGGTGGCAAGGAGGGAGAGTGAAACTTCTTTTCTGCAGCGTATAAGTCCTGTAAAAACATAGTATTTTTCTGATTATTCAGATATTTATCTTGTGAAAATGAGCCATATCAGTCACAGCATTGCACTGTTAAAACGTACAGACCCTGATGGCTGTGCATTTAAAGGCTTAGAGGATCAGCCTCAGTGATGGATGTATTGGGAGATGTTGTACTAGAAGCTGTGTTGTAATAGGTCAGCTATTAAGACTTGTTCCTGGCCCTATCAGTGACATGTTGATGATAAGTGTCTCACAGGAGACCGGACATGCAACAGCAGCATGCAGGGACACTTGAACATTTTGTCCAAGGCCAGAGCAATGGAATTTCAGAGGTCATTGATTTAGTCTCCGGCTGGGCAGGCGCTCCTGGTCGATACATAAGATAAGACAATATCAGTTTTAACCATCGCTATGGGAGACAGCAGCAAAAAAACGTTTGTTTTGAAAGGATAAGTTACTATAGCAATGGAAGACAGCTCAAACATATAGAGGTCTTGCTGGGGTCTTGGTCAAATAATAGCTTCTCTGTGCTGCTGTTGTTGCTCTGTTCACAGATAATGCAATGGACAATATCTTTTGAGGGATTTTGTTTCTATGGCTGCCAAAAAAATATGAGGAATAGTGAGTGTTACTCAGTTCTTAACAGTTATTTACAGCTCTGGGCGACTTGTGATGATGTGCAGTCTATAGCAGTGAGTGTTTTTGCTTTGTATTCATGGAGCTGTCATTAGTTAAATAAGGAGTTTCACAGTGTAAATAGCACCATGTGGAGCGCCTTCAGTTCAGAGTGAAGTCGGTATATAATTTGGGGATGGATAATGATCTCACTCTTCCTTCTTCTATCTCTGTCACTTATGTCGTCTGTTTCTGTCTCTTTCCTTAAAGGGACAGGACACCAAAACAAAAACACTGCGTACTGCATACTACGTATGTGCACTGCAGAGTGTTTCTTCAGTTTATGTGGTAGTATTTTATTGTTATTGCTATTTGGAATTGCTTAAGATTGAATCACAACTGTCAAAAGGAAATTAACATTTTATTTTATTTATTTATTTATTTCAAAGATTCTTTTTTGGGGCTTTTTGAATTTACACTTTTTAGAATTAAACAAACAAAAAATTTAAACAGGACATTTGTGAGCTTTTGAGGTGTTGGTTTTGCTGGTTTTGAGCCAGGCTAGCTCTTTCCTCCTGATTACAGTCTTTATGCTAAGCTATGCTTGCCACTGCTTCAACTTTAGCATACAGACAAAGACAAAGTCAGTTAGCTAACGTTAGCTGTGGTTGAGATTGTTAAACACGTCTACACCGGACCGGATGTCTGCTCTCACGCCTACTGTTACTCACTGACATCCTTCTTGTCATTTCACTGCTAAATTAAATTGATTAATTGATTGATTCACTCACCATACAAACATTCTATTAGGATTTTGAGTCAAGTCACAATTTGGAGTTATGGCTCAAAATATAACCAATTAATGGTTCATTTTAAAATGCCAGACCTGTATCACCACAAAAATCTGTGGGTGAGCAAATCTTCATGGAAAATCCAATTTTGGGATTCTGTCGCAACATTTATTGCCACCTGAAGGCAGACATTATTCAGGTGTTTTTCAATAATGTTGATGATCATCTTTTGTAAATTTTATTGTTTAATGAGTTGATAAGAAGTTGAATGATGTGGCCTTGAATTGTTGCAGTATACTGTACTTAAGGTCATGACTAACAGACACTTTTACCAGCATTACATGCTTACAGAATCTCTCAAAAACATTTACAGGTTTCACAAGTTCCTTCTTTTCTAAGTTAATTCCACTCTCACTGAACACTCTGGACTATTTGATTATCATGGAGGGCTAAAACACGAGACATTCTTGTTAAAAAAAAACAACAACTAATATTTAGAAGTCTTGCGGATTCAAACCAATTGGCATCAGGTGGCCCTGGCATGTGCACAAATGCCACAAAAACACAAAATAATGTCAGCACTATTCATTTTACACAGCTGCAAAGTGCAATTTTAGTTACTCTGCAGTAATTGTTAATTAAATACTTTGATGATACTGTCTGCAACCAAGTAATTAAATTAATATCACTTATTTTCAAATGGTTACTGTTACATGCAATTCAATCCAGGCCCCTACGGGCAGTCAATTGAAATTCCTCCACTACTCACACTGCAACCAACCCCCCAGTGCCTTTTCATTGTGAGTTAAGTCTGCACACATGGCTGCATGTAGCCTGACAATAAAGTGTCCTGAGTTAACTTCTGTTATGAATTGGCGCTATACAAAGAAAATTGAATTTAACTGAATTTAACTTAAAGTTGTGCTGATCTGTGGTACACATCACGGTTCAGCTTTTGAGGCCCTGGAGTGACCATCTAGTGCCACACCCCATGTTGAAGAGTAGAAGCCATTCACAGGGTCTAGAATGTGCAGTACCACCTTACTCAGTTTTAAAAGGCCTGAAAATAGCATGTATCTCAGCAACAGCTGTATCTAGCAATCTGGTGAACAATACCTCTTGCTGAGGTGAGAAAAGGACAGAACAAAAAAATAATAAATACAACAAATAACTAACAACTGATGTAACATTATAACATCACTTTACCGAGAGCTCAGGTTTAGTCCACACAATGAGCCCTGTCTTATTCATAATTAGCTAAACTGAACACGGCATCTTCATTTGACCATAAACAAGACAACAAAGCCAGCCAGTGTTTTTTTTTGGCAAAATCACACCAATGATCAGTGATGAAAACAGACCTATATTTGATGCAGTGAACCGTATTTGATTCAGTTAAGTTCAAATAGTACAGCTTGGTATATGTCCTGACTCATTGTATTACACATTCCATATTAACTGTAAAATTGTGTTCACACATTTGTGATATGACAGTTGCATTTATCTGTTTGTATTGTCTATGTTTATTGTTGTAATTTTCATGCTGCCCTCTTGAAAAAGAGATTTTAATATCAAAGAAAATATCTACTTTTTTAAAAACCAAATCCATTTGTTTCTAAATTTCTCAAACATTTTCTTAACTTTTGAAATATCAAAATTATCATTTACAAAATGTAAATCCTTGTGAACTTCTTGGACCAAAACAAAAGAGCTGATTTTGGTGTTCTCCATCAACATGTTTTTTGTGAGGCATTGCAGATATTTTCTTTGATAAGATAAGATTTACATGAATCAAGCTATACCTGCAGTCAGCAGTAATGCACCAATATGCTCCTTTTTTGCTAAATTTAATAGAAATACTAGTGTTTATAATTGGAATCACAGTCCTAGCACAATACACACACACACACACACACACATACACACACACACACACACAGGCAATGTTAATAGACATTACTGCAATATTGTCCACCGGCAGCCTTTGGGGAAGGCACCCACGGGCCCTTAACCTTGGCTAGAGACCAGAGGGCTGGTCAGAGGCTGCTGGGCACAAGAACAAATTTCATAAATAAAATATGTGTGTAAATGTAGCACTTGAACGTGAGTGAATGAACGCTGGCACAATGTGAAATCAGTCAGGAATGTTGTCAAGGTTTCTGTTGCCCTGCGGAGCAAACTCTTTTTACACAGTATCAACAGTTTAAAATGATACAGAGCCAGAGTCCTGACTGACTCAAGGTCATAATACCACTTTGCCTAAAAATGTCATCAGCTAATAAAAGTACTGAATGTTCTTAGCACGCACTGTCCTGATGCACTGCTCAGACTGAGTGCATCGGGACATCAGAGTATGTATGGGAAGCCTCGAGGGGAAAACGTGTCACCACCCACATTGCTAAAAGTAAGCTACACTTTGTCTCAGTTACTCATACACTGCAGAGTGATTTTATCCACACTGAATAAAAGTTGTAATGCTTCCATTGCAGTTACTGGCAGTGTGTGCAGTAGTTAGCTCACTTGGAATTCTAAAAATCCATGAGTATTGAGCAACTAGCCATGAAAGAGTTGTTCTCGGACACAGTGGGAGGCTGTGTTTTCCAGGAACCAGTATGTACCACTGCAGAGCTAGTATGTATTCAGGTCTTGTTGTTCTCAGAGTTTTGTTTTCTGATTCAGTTTTCTTGATAATTGTGTCCTGGTTGGCACCTGCAGGGTTTGGTGAGGAAAGGATGCTTTGTTGGTTAATTTCTGCTTTATTATCCAATAGAGTATTGCATTTAATATAAAGTATGAATATCATTTCACTCTTTTATGCCATTATACACAATTAAAAGTGGATTTTATTGTTTGTTCTGAATTGTAACTAATATCAGTGGAATTGTTAGAAATTACTAATATAGAAAAATAAATTGTGAACCATGATGGTGAAAATTCTGAATTGTGGTTTCACATTATTTCAGTTTAGTTCAGAGATTTGTAGTCACTGACTGTATGTTAATCTTTACCATAGTTTCTTGTACCTACTTGGAAGGTTGAGCTGTAGTCAAATGGTTGCAATCTGCTGTTCACTGTTAGATGCCACTGAATCCTACACAAGTGAGCATTTTCATACAAAAAGTAAAATTTCGGGTTATTGAAATATTAATCGTGTTTAATTCTTAAAAGCGTTATCACTATGAATGATCTAAAAAATAGCACATTTGACATTTCAGCATTAACACGTGTCAGCATTGTCCACTGTACTCATAAATGATGCCCAGTGAGTGTTTAATAATTAAGTAATGAAGGAAATAATACAATACATGGTCCTTTGTCCTTTGAGCTCTCTTATCGATGCAGAATGAACTTACAAACGTTTATTGACAACCTTTTAAGCCCACAGAAGGATTTTCATACAAAAAAGATCAATTTCAGGTCATTCAGATATTAACTTATATGTTTGTTATGTTAAATGCTGAAATATTTTCAGATGTACATTGTGGCTTTGAATTCATCGTTTCATTGTCCCATGCCAAATTAGCTTTATTTATTAGCTTATTCATTGTAATAACTGTGTCAGCATTGTCCACTGCACTCATAAATAACACCTGGTGACTGTAAATAATTAAGTAATGAATGAAACAAAGTATGTGGTCAAAGTCTCCCTTTGAGCTGTGTTATCTACGTTAAATGGACTTACCAACTTGACCAAAACTCATTGTCATACTAAAAATCCATTTTGGATGGAGTATCATTTTCAGCCTTCCTTGGTTAATGGCATCCTATCTCATATCTTTGCTGCTTAATAGTTAATAATAGTCTTCACATGTGACTTTTCATAGCAGGGATGCACACATGACATTAACATCAAAGATGGCTCCATTTCATTGAAGTGTTCCAGTATGTTATGTCAGTGACATGCACAACACCAATACAGTGGAAATGGCATACCTAAATGGAATGCAGTCATTATTAATTCAACCTGCGCTTTGCCTGCTACGACGTGTCAAAACGTCGTAGCAGGCAAAGGCCGTGGAAAAGCACTGAAACCTCCGCTGTGTGCTGCAAACTGAGTCTCTGGAGCTTAAGTACTGACTTTACTCTGCATTCCAGCTGCAATGAAGATCTGATTGTGTCCAACCACACTCACTGGGTGTCCTCACCTGTCGGTTGGCCACTCTGGACCTTCACCAGTCAGCAGCCAGTAATTACATACTAGCCTGCCTAGTACTGTAAAACCAATAATCAGATAATAATAATAGACAATAATAATCAGATTAACTGGGCCTTCCAACAGGGTGGTGGTGATGTGGCTGTTAATGTTGTAAGCAAAGGGATGTACTGTGTCACCTTAAAGACACTTGTACTTGTGCATTCACATGAAACAAAAGCAGAAATAAAACACATCCATTTATCTTCTGTACATGTGTTCTGAGGTTCACTACGACCAGCCTGACTTGACAACAGCTGGAACTGAAAACAATGCACTGTACTGCCAGTATTATAGGTCGTGTTCAACATTCAGTATGTCTAAAACGGGCCACAACATATATCAGATGAGTATTAACTGGATTTTTAGGCTGCTTCGTCATGTAGTATTGTATGATGTATGTTATTACCTACAACCTTGCCCTACACCCCCTCTGCCCACTGATGTTGACTGGACTGTGTGCTTGATTGACATTGTGTTATTTGGTTTGTTGCACCTGTTTGAATATGAGAAGTTACACCGTTATTATTCTTATTGGTTCATAAAGTTTGGTGGCCTGATAGTTACAGCAGAGCTCCACCCAACTACAACTTGAGCAGAGGTCTAATCAGACATAATAAGTGGAAAGTGCTGTGTGGGCGTACAGGGCCTTAAATATGTGGTCATATATCAGGTTTATTGTTCATCAGTATGCATTGGGTAGCACTGTTCCTTATTGGTAGTTATAAAACAGAATTGCCTATTTAAAACCATGGCATAATTGCTAAGGTGCAGAACGACACAGAGCTGCTACAAATGGTCTTCAATGCATAGTGATCTAACATATTGCTGCAAAGTTAAAGCTGCTCTAATCAACATTTTTATAATAAGAATGTTTCAGATAACTTGGTGTAATGTTAAAGGTGGCGCTCATAGTGACAAATTCACAGATAATCACAGACAAAGCTCCATGAAGCGCTACGCATTGTTAGTCTTTCAGCACATTGTTTTGGTTTTACAGCCCCAGCCTTTTTCGCAGTTTTGATTTATTCTCACCACTCTCATCAGCAACGTTTCCAGCTGCAACATGCAGCTGTTCAGCAATAAATCCACTGTGCACTACATGCCCAGCTCCAGATGACGTACAGACAAAGTTAGCAACTAGCTGGTGATCATTTAGTGGCTAAAGAGCCTGATATTTCCCTCAGGAGTTGGTAGCAAACTAAATGGACCTAAAAGTGAATAATGGATGTACAAGCACCAGTTGGACAGAAACATGACTCCCACTGAATGATAATGTTGCTCTGTTTTTGCTGGATGTATAAATAAGCAACTTAAAAGGTGGAAATATGTTGTGTTTACATCTTGTTTATTCACTCAAGTGTCCAAAAACTCAAAAAAAGGTGTACTCATAACCCACGCTGTTGTGAAGTTAAATATATTTTGTTCAGCATGCAGTGTTTCTATAATCTCAGATCTAGTAGATCATCAACAATAACTAATCAGTTGCTTCTTGGAAGTATGAAACAGTGTGGGTTGATGTCATGTCATGGAAATCCGTTTTAATTCTTCCATATTATGTCAGTCAATACATTTAAGGTAACCCACAACAGACTGTACATCATCTGAAACGGAGTTGTTTCAGTGCTTTATTTTACAGTAAAAACACTGCTATCTGCATTTGACATTAGAGCGGGAACTTTATCACTGCCCTCGGTCCTTTGAGTTGCCATGTGAAGATTTAAATGAGTTGATAGCATAATGACTGATAAAACCTTGATTGTTGGTCATTTACTTTATTGCAGGGTGAGTTTAGGAATAGATTGCTCACACTGAATTGCTTGCATGCATATTTGCTTTGTCTTTCTAGGTTATAATTGGATATATATTTTGAATAGTTTTTTGTTTTTACCATGAGTGAAGTTATTTTATTATTTAACCATGACCAAATACACAATCATACCTTCACACTTGCCAAAAGAATTGAAGTTGGACAGGTAACAATTCAAGTTGTTGCCAGATAATGGACTTTGCTGTGGAGTAAAATAATCTTCACACACAACTCTGTTCAGTAATGCTGGCATAAAATATAAAAGTCACGCAAGCTCAATGGTTTTGAAACGGCTAAACGTGCTCCCCTTACAGATTCCCCTGCCCGTACCAGTTTTCACAGCATTCCCAGCTTGTGTGTTGAAAAGGCTACTCCTCAGATTGTGGTTAAAAACATTCTCCAGGACAGTTTATTTGTGGTTGGCCAGTGGAAGCTGTTCTTACTCTGCTGATATCTTTGTGAACAACCCTGAACCTTTTTGTTGCAACACGCTGACAGCTTTTGTGGATGAAGGTTTGTGGACGAAGGATTTTGATTGATGGTGAAACTGGAGGCATAGTTTGTTCCATGTAAATAATGATATAGCCCTTAAACCAAGGCTT